ACCTAAAACAGTCACACGGTGACGAACTTCTCTCGCTCCACCATTCCGCGAGCCAGTGGTAACAGAAAGTTACTCAGAACTCGCCTTCTGGAAGAATATATATCTATTTTCGTCCATTACTTTATTTGCAGGAACATTCTTTCTCACCACTTTCATTTTAATTAAATTTTTCCCAAGGAAAAAGTTGTCAGGGCAGTGTAAATTACTCTTTCCTGAAACAAATCCACAATTTTCTTAATTCCCACACGCTTTTTTTCTATTGTCAAATATTTCTAATTTTACGTACATCTAATTATAATTTAATTAATCCAGTAAGTAAAATGACCGCAAAATGATAATATTCGTTTGGAATTTTACAGTGATGTTTTAATAAAATTTAAATAATATTCCTCGGTGAAAGGGGATAAAAAATTCAAAGGTTTTGAAAAGCTTGCCATCTTGCCATCTTGCTATCTTGCCATCAATATCGAATGTGACAATGAAACATTAAACAACATGATCGAAGAAAATTTATATTTTACAGACATTGTAGAAAAAATCGAATTCTGTAAATTAATGTTTTCTTTTATTTTACAAAAAACAAATGCAAGAGTTTTAATCTTGTTCCAGTTATGAGTCTCGGATTGAAATACATAACTTTAATGAATATCGGACTGATTTGGAGAGAGGATTAAAGAAAACAAAAAGAAGCGCTTCGATTGACGGCAATTTCGTACCTCTTAAACCTGAAGAGTTATCACATACAAACTTGAAGAAGAAAATTGCAGCCAATGAACAAAACCATAGAGATAAAATGTCACCTTTGAAGGAGAAATTCAATTCTCTTCCGGAAAATACAAAAAAAAATTGAAGAAACAAATCCAGACCATAAAAGAAGAGGGAACCTTGTGATAAAACAAAAAGAATTATGAGTTGACGAAAGTTAAGGACGAATTGAAGCGGATTAACATGAAAAAATTAGTAAAAACAAAAACTCATATAGAAAAGTTTAGAAAGAGACATGAAAATAAATACATTGAAAATACTCATTAAACATTTTTTATTTGCTGATAAATGAGGAGAAACGTTAAGAAAGTACTAACGCAATCTAAAAAATAGTTGGAGAAATCAGCAATTTTCTGAAAAAGAATACCAACATATCTCACCGGCCAATGAAAATAATGACCCGATGGCGTGTTTCCTCAACAAGTTGTCGTGACATTGCTAGTGAACGTTACGAGAACGACTTTCCGCAAGATACGCCTGTCCTGTCTTGATATTAACTATTGAACTGCTTATCTCAGACCTCCTGGCTCTACCAGTAAACGTATACACGTTTTATCTATGCTGACGAACCCCTGCATGCTTTCAACTTGAAAATTTTTAAAGCGATGACTAAGTCAAACTTTTCATTAGAAAATTTAAATAACCAGAAAAAATCGATACACAAACTACACTTGCATTCTTTCAAAATATTTTAATAAAATCCAGCAGATGATGATAATAAGTAAAAAACGAAGAAAATAAGTTTCTAGCCATTTTTTTCTACGTCAATAATAATTTTCAAGTACCTCATCTTATCAAAGTAGACATATAGTTTGTTTTACTGAGGGAAAAGTTTATTTTATACACCACAAATTTTCTTGTACTAATTAAACAAATTCACTGATATAAATTTAAATTTATATCAGTGAATTTGACTTTAGTTGACTAAACTAAATATTTGACTCGTTTATTTAGATATCTGGTTTAAACATCGTTTTAAAAAGATTACAAAAATCGAAAAATCGAAAAAGCCAAAATATTCCTTTAAATTGAATATTTTGCCTAAAACGTCAAAAAGCATTGTTTATTAAAAAACAAATGTTCTCTAAACGTGCAGGTATTTTTATTTTGCAATTTGAAAAAAAGGAATTTATTTTATTTTTACATTTTGAGCACACCAATTTCGTCGGACAAAAATTTCAAGTGGATTACCAAAAAACGTGGTGGGAACAGTTATGCAGTACAGTTGGCCAGCGATAATAAATTATAACCAAAGCAGTGCTTGGCATCGCGACAGTCAGGTGCACTGGCAAAAACCGGGAAAATGGATTATTAATTATGATATCGCACCCGTTGGAACTAGAGCCTGGTCTGTTCACAAGAGAGAAAGAATTATATAAAAAAAAGAAGGGAGAAGTATTGGTATACTGAAATTCTGTTCAGTCAAATCATTTTGAATCGATTGCATATTAAAATGGTGAAATGTCCCTTATAAATTTTGAAAAATGACAATTCAACTTTCATTTATCTTTTCCGACAGTTTATATTTATATTTATAGAAATAGCGGTCAGAAAAAATTTGTACTCACTTTATTCGTAAAAAGTAATAAAAGTAATAAAAGTTCTTTATGTATTGAAAAACATTAATTTTTGTGCATGGCATACATGCAATTAATGTATACAACAGCGGCTGCTCATGTACTTTGAAATAAGTACTACTAAAGACACTTTAGTCGTCCATATAATAATTTTTAATGATTTATGATAACCTCACAAAATGATCACAAAATAAAGGGACTCTTATATGCGCAAGGTTCGCTGTTTATGTCATGTTCAGATGCAAGGCATGCTGCTGTGTAATTAGTAGACATTTCTGTGGTGAACGAGGCATCGTTTAATTTTCAAACGAATGCATATATGCTACCACCAACATGATCTATACATTATACAATAGCGTTAATTAATGGAGATTGATCGTCAATGAAAACATTTGATAAATTTCATTTAATCTGCACTCTGCACCTGAAGGATCATTTAACTCGAAAAAATATATGACTTTTCGATATTCTGCTGAATTTCGGTTCCAATAAATCGGACTGACATGTCATATAAGACAGTAGAGTTGAAATAAAAATTCTTAAACAAATTCCAAATTAGAGAATGGTGGTGATCGAGTAATTACTTGCTTTCTGTGAAAGAGAAAGTTTTTCAATTGATAAATGATAAATTTGTTTCGTGCTCACGAGAAGAAGCGATCATTATTTCTGACCTCGTCCCCTAAGGGTGGAGTTTGCCGTCAGCTACTAATTATTCTTTCGTCTCGTGTAACTATTTGTCCTGTATTTCTCTCGTGCTACCTGCATCACCTAAATTGTTTCGAATTCAAAGCCAAGTCCGAATATTATGTTTGCGTTCACTACTACTTTATCTCTTCTACAAATTGTAAGCTTAGCCGGTTAATAATGAACGAAAATTTCAAACACTGTTCAAGTGTATGCAATTTTTAAATAAATTATACCAACTCTTCGAATTACGAATTATTCTTTTTTTACAAAGGGAGATAATTATTGGTTGAAAATGAGAAATATGTATGAGTATCAAATCGCTGTAAATCATTCATATAGTCGGTGTAATTGATGGGAAAGAAATTACTGTTAATCACGCGCCACGTGTGGAGAGTGGAATAATTACGTTTATTGAACAAATAATTTATGAGGTCCTTTATACCTACTAAACGGGCACAATCGGAAATAGACATTCGATATCGTATGGTGCCAATATTGCGATTCGAAAATAGTGTTAATATCAAATTTAATTTTCACTTTTTTTTTTTATCCCCTAATCTTCCTTCCTTTTTTCAATAACCGTTTATAAACCTCCATCGACGAAATTATCTCATTTAATTCGAAATTCTAAATCACTGCCTTTTATTAAACGTGGAATTTCAATTTCAGCTTAAGAGAAACTTTTCAAAAACATGATTTTTCATCCTGTGCCGATAATGTTTGCCATTGTAACTCTAACCAGAAGCTGCTACATTTATCCGAAAGGTATACTTGAAAATAACTAGTCGCACGTAAACCATGTTTTTTTAATATAGCTAGACTTGAGGCATTCTTTATTAAAAGCAAAGAAAATCAACATTAACATTTATAAGTACAGGAATTAATTAAATTGATTAATGAGAGAGCACAATATATTTTTTATGGACATTTCTTAACGTTCTTTCACTCTTCTCATTAAAGTGGCGAACAAAGGAACTCGACGTGGATGAAACGAGAAGCTTTCGGGCTCACGTATGCAATAATATATTATATGCGTTTGCAACTTCTGTTTGCAGAAAACTCGAAATTCTTGGCGAAAAAGCAATAAAGAGGGAGCGCACAAAGTGCCCGTTTTTCGTACCTCAATTTTCGTATCTACACGACAAACATTCAGTTTTCTTGATGGTATCAAACTGATTTACTGATACCATAGCAAAAATTTGAATCAAATTAGGATGAGATCAAAAAACTTGTAACACTCTGCAGCTCATAAAATTTCACGTATTTTATCTATATTATACTATAAATAAGTAAAATGGTTTGAATATTTGTTTATAATGGTAAAACAACAACAGTGATATTTGCTACACTTGAATCAATTAACAAGCATTTTGGGAATTTGTAAAAACGAAATGTAATGCAGGAAGTCATTTTTTAGTGGAAATTCAGCTAGCAGGATGAAATAAAGCTCGAGTATCGTGAACTTTAATTGAGCATAAGCTTCGTGGCTGCATCGATACTTTATACGTGGTGAATAACACGGATTTAATTTCACATCATGTTACAAACGAACGCCCAACCCGTTTACAATTTGTAATTACGTTTGTCCCTCGGCAATACACAATTGATTACGGCATTGGTTTTCCCTTTTGTTTTGTTTTCATCCATTCGATTCAAATCTGCCGCCACTCTCGTTCAACCAAGGCACGTAAACATTCTCGCGCGCGATTTCACAATTTCGCGCTTTCGCTAACAAAATTTTACACTGCTAGTTCATAATTTTTCAAATAAATATCATAACAGAAGGGAATTTCGGAAAAATTACAATGTCTCTCTACATCAATGGAACTTGAATAACCTTGTTTCAAGTTTACTATATAAAAATAAATAAATATTTATGGAATCAATTCCAAGTGGAAAATATGTTTAGAATAATAGAATAGAAAAGAAATTTATTCCTGAAATGAAGAATATTAATTTTTTGTGTTGCAGAAACAAAGGATCCGTGTGCAAAATTGAATTGTACGCAAGGTGCTCAGTGTGTTAGAAGTAGAGACGGAACGGAAGCTGAGTGTAAGTGTACAGAATCATGTCCAAACTTAGGAGATCACGAAGGTTCTGGTCCTGTTTGTGGTTCAGATGGAGTTGATTATGCAAGTTTGTGTCACTTGAATAAAGTTGCCTGCATCCAAGGGATCAATATTACAGTTGTTTTCCCCGGGAAATGTGGTAAGTACTTTTGTAGAAAAAAAATTCTATATACGTATTGTTAGTTGGAAAAACGCGTTTGGAAATTTCCATGAAAATTGAAAAAAAGAATTAATAGCACACATTGGATTTTCAGGAGAAAATATTCCCTCGAGTGAAATTAGCCAATTCTTTTCCACTCGTACCAACACTGTGTTTATTTGTTCTAAAATTTTTGTAAAAGATATTAAAAAGAAAAGTTTGTTTCGTTGCAGAGAGAATATATATGTTCTCAATGCAAGAATAATTCTATACTATTGCTATTGAATTTGAGAAATGCATTTGCATCATGTTACCCTCGGTTTAAGTGTATGTATATATACAGATAGTGTCGCCACCGTGTAGGTCTGCCCAAGTGGTTTTTGTATGTTTAGTACAGTAACAACCACAGACAAATGTAACATATCGAGGCAATACATTCTGTCGATATCGTGCAGCTTCCGTGCTGCACAATACGGAGAACGTGGCTTTAAAACCAATTTCTCGCACTTTAAACGTGGCGCAGGTGCAGCCACTACTCGAAAACACTTTCGTGTCAAAAAGCGACTCATAAAATGACTAATAAATGTTTTTGAAAAATAATTAAAAGGAAATTGGAAATTGGAAACTGTTTAAACGATGAAAAGTAGTATTGATGTACTTAAAGTGATATCATTGTGTTGCCTTAGGACATGGCTCAAGGGATATAATTGCGAGGCATGAATGCCATCGAAATCAGAGCCAGCACGCTCTCGCTCTCCTCCACATACCTACATATAGGCAGACAATGATAAATTAGTCGTACTGAATACGTGCAGTAAGTACCAAACTCAGCAATGTGTTCCAAGAGGCAGTCAGATGGAAAGCGCGATATTCAGAATTTACCGTCTGACTCGAACGATCCGCTACCACTAACCAAAGGAACTAAGTCCTGTCGTCCTTCCCAGACGTATCTCGCATTCATCTTCTTGGTACTATTCAAGTCTTTTACTCGATACCATTCTTCCCATTGCCTCCCTTTCACTCTATCTACGTGTCTTCTCCATCCCCCGCTCTTATTCCTTTTATACGTCTCAGATAATCATTTAAACCATTAGTCTCTCTTTAGTCACTTGATAATAATTACATCTTCTCACTCCAATTTATTTCTCCCCGTGGCTTCTCTGATTTCCTCTAATGATACCTCCCTGTTGAAATTAATCCTTATAATAATGAGAAACACCAGTACATTTAAAGAAATTACTATTTTTTAGTAAAATTTACTAATTCAAAATTTAGAGAGCAAGTTAAAGGTAAAACGAAATGAAGGATTTCTTATTTCAGTTTAGTCTAGTTTAACTTGTACAAATACGTATTTGCATCCATGGTATTGCAGACAGGAATAGTATCTCAGAATACAAGGACAAATGTTTGAGAAGAGGAGCAGTATTAGAGACGTTATTGTTTATTTAGAATTAACGCAATCTTCATTGAGTTTCTCCTTCTCATCATAGATTACTGCATATATGATGGTTCAACATCTAAATAAATAAATAATTTCAAAATAAAATACCATATACCTATGTATTCTCCATCATTATTCAATTAAAACACAGCATTTTTTTTAAATTTTGAATATAATTGAATTTTCTGAAAAGAATTTTATTACTTTTGAAAATAATTGAATTTTTGCAATTAATTGTAGTTTCTCAAAAATTGAATTTTTCTTGTGTTTTCAAGAAAAATTTGAAATAAAAATGTTTTATTCTATTATTTTTAAAATTGCTGATTTTATTTAAAAAAGTAAGAAAAAAAGTTGATGGTTATAATTATACTTAGTATTTTTAATGTGAAAGAACAAAGAAGAAGAGATGGTATACTGTCTTGGAAATGCAAATGAATAAGGTAAGGTGATCTGGAAAAATATAGCAAGTTCCACGTCGTAAAAATAGTTGCGTATGAATGAAATTAAAAATCTTCAGCTTTCAAAGAATGATAATATGTTCCTGCGAGAATAAGAACATTATCAACAATAAGATGAATGTCAATAATCAATATCATTAATTTCTTTCTGATTTTGATAAGTCATAAGACTGTGTCTATATACTCGGAGCCCTTTTTTAATCGTCATAATCAATAATAAAAGTTGCTATCATAAAGTATCGCTCCACCTCCTTAACGTCATTCGCCACCTTTTGCCTCTCTCAGCCTGTTTCCATTCACCATTGACTGGAGTTTCCCTGGCACGGGACACGAATCTCAAGTAGCGAACGCCGATAAATCAAATTAATCCAAAAGTTTTCCCAAGTTTCAACCACAGAAAGTTTTCGCGTATGCGATTGGCTGAAATTGAAAATTTACCCTCTCACCCTGTTATTGACGAAGATTACGCTTTATTAAATTCGCCCTTCTGGAATAATGACGATGAGGGACACAGAACTCAATCAAATCTTAATCTCCCTTCTTGACATGTTTTAAGTCTACATTCTTCCTAACCTAGTTATAACATAACGTCTATGAAATATGACAAAACCAATTTTTCCATTTTGTCTTATCTTTTAAAGTATATTACTATTACCTTTTCTTCTCCATGGTAGATAAAGTTAATCCCTGAATAAATGGAAAAATGAGACTCGTTCCTTTTTTAATGAGACTAATTTAGAAAAATTAATCTATTCTATTGTTCAAATAAAACAAAATAAAAATACGTACGTCAAATAAATGAGACTATATATAATACTCGGATATTTTTCAAATAATCCAAGCTTTCAAGAAACATTTTCAATTTCTTTCCCCTGTAATCTTGTTTCTTTCTGAAAGACAATTTACATGCTCTGTTGTTTCAAAATAAGGACTGAGGAAGAAATTGTCACACTTGAGCGAAAATTCACACATATGCACATTTATATAGTTTCATAAAGTGTCTTCTCTGAATCTTCTCAATAAATAAATATAATGAACCAAAAGAAGAAATAAAGTACTTTTTTTATTTTCATGCAAATGACAGTTTGGTAATATCTATTGAATGCAAAGCAACAACTTTTATATACACAAAGAAAAACAAAAATTGTAATTTTTAAATTAAAACTAAACTTTTAATTAAGCTTTTCATAATTCATTATACCTAATTAATTTTTTTTTTCGAAGTTATCACTTGGTCACTATATATTTAATATATGAAGAGGACAGCGAAACGTTAAATGGAATTTTTATTTTATTTTATTGCCTCTGACTTGGATTGATTTGGATTGATTGATAATTATTAATCACATACATTAATACATTTTAATTAATGTTGAAATCACACATGAAAATAATCCTATAAACTTTTTACCTTATGAAATATAAATTCGCAAAACCAATAAAAGTTTTCTGAATGGTCATTATTCCAATTAAAAACCGCTAAAGTGTATAAAACTGATATAAGCAAGGGGAAAAAATAAGAATACAAAAGTTACTTAATGAAAGGAGACCGAACGATGTGAATGAATAGAAACGAAGATAATTTTGTTATTTGGGGATGGAATATAGACAAAGGAAGCAATGTACGGAATTGCAATCGGGTTATGGCTTGAATAAGGGGCAAATTGAATTCAAATGTCTGAGAGTTAGCGGAAAAATTTAAATTTTCAAGAGAAATAAAAGAAACATAACTTGCATTATATTACGTTTTATACAAATAGTTCTTAATTTTATTTTCAATCCAATTTCGGTTAAAGCAACTTTTATTTGTTAAAAAATTGTCTTCATTTCAGATTAGGACACTAAAAAAATTTTTAAAGCGTTGCATTTTTAAGAAAGATTAAAATAATCAATATCAATTGATCAATTTCAATTACTTTTATAAATAGTAAAATTCTTTGCAGAAATTCAATTAGTATCAATGCATTTTAGTAAAATTGAATTAATCAAATTTTCTATTATAGTTATGAACAGACAAGATTAAAAAAATTTTTTGTTGAATTTAATTATTTTCTAAATTTTTAATTAAAATTATTAACAAAACATTATTTTCAAAAAATTTAACTCAAAAGAATTTAATTATTCATAAAAACTCTAATAAACATTTTTGCAGCCATTTTTAGATTTATTTATGTTCGAAATTAAATAAATTTAAAAAACCTAGAAATTTGTTGAACGAAAATAGTAGACACCCTGAAACTTGTTAAATATAGGCCCTCTATTGTTTTTTCAAAACACTATGCTGTATAATTCATGTAAACTACATTGTATGTCATTTTTCTTGTAGAAAATTTGAAGAACAATAATTATTGTTGGTTACGTAGAAAAAGTCGTGCCCTTCGTAATCGCTTTTATGAAATAACTTTTTATACTCGTTCTCGTTTCCCCAATCCTCTTATCCTTCTCGCAGATTATTATTCCTCTGTGAAGCTGAAGTTACTCCAACACGATGCAAAATGCGCTCAGCATCATGAGGTATAATGCAGAGAAGGGTGGCATCAGACTGACGGGAGAAAGGATGTTTAAAGGGTTGGTGGTAGGGGTCAAGAGAAAGGGGAACAAGCGAGAGAGAGTGAGAGGGGGAAAGTTGACTGGAAAAAGGTGTTGAAACTTTAGCGTAACTTTGAAGATTAGCGAACTTGTGGAAGGGCGAGGCTGAAGCTTAGCGGTGGACTTAAAAAACAATTGCCTCGCGGCATCGCGGGGAATTTTAAACACACTTTTATCACTCGAGCAGAGAGACCTTTGTACTTTAAATCGCCTCGAGACTCGGCACATTGTCGCTTTCCAGAAATGCCAGAAACTCGTCCTCAGTCCAATCAAACGACGAAATCTTGCTCAAGTTTTTCCATTTCACTTTCGGATCTTTAAGAAGATGAAAATTGTCTGTTTATATTGCCATCTTGCGCGCAGAAACTTCTCTCATTGAAAAGATTCCTTTCTTCTTTCGAATCCCCCGATATTGCTTGACTGATGAGCAAGTGGAAATTGGACTTTATTTTTATTTCCTTCGATTTGTATTTTGTATATCAATAAACTGGATGGAGTTGCTCCGCTAAATAACAATAAACAATTTTACTTGATTGCGAAGAGTTATATAGATTCTCGTGTAGCGCGAATCATTAGTTGAGGCGAGGAAAATTCAAAAAAGGAAAATGTAAACTTGAAAGTGAAAAAGTAACATGAATAATTTTCGGCGTCTATTCAGAGGCAAGTATGCAAAAAAGAAGAGTCGGGGTGTGAAGCAGCGAGTGTTTGTATTTCGAGAAGCCGCATCATTTCAAAAGGAATACTAAGAATTCCGTGCTTGAAGAGAAGTCACCAACACTTTGTCGAGTTGGACATCGAAAGTGAAAGGGGTACGAATTGGAAGGGAGAATAGGGGATAGAAAATGGAGGTTGGATAAAGGAGTTTAGTCGCTCCACTGGACTGTATCTTACCCAAACCCGAGAAACATCGCCTCCTAGGAACTTGCCTCGTCAGCCAACCGTAGTTTAAGCTACACCTTTAGACAGGAAACGGAATCCAACTTCCTTCCTTATACCAGTCAAGATTAATCTCGTCGCCGATAGTATATCGGGCCACATTACTACAAAACAGGAATTGAAAAACCCCCTTCTTCTTCTTCTTCTTCTTCTTCTTCTTCTTTTTCCCTGCCCAAATCTAAAACACTAAATTTCCCTAATCTCGATAATCCTTTCTTCTTGTCCTTTCTTCGCATTTTTATACAGACTTTAATTAAAAATTATAGGTACATGCAATATATATGTGGTTTTATAAAAATTTATAAAAATTCCCAAACGGACTTGAAGTTCTCAAGTAGGGCTGTCAAGGACGAGATTCGGAACTGCTGACCGGAAAATCCCATTTGCATAAATTTACCATACATGTGGGTCAGTAGGGATGTAATATAGTTTACTCGATAATTTGTAAAGTTTGCAACTTTTCGTGATTGCAGATCCTTGCGCGAGCGTGGAATGCATGGAACCGGAAATCTGTCAGCTGGACGAATCGAGGCAACCGGCCTGTCGTTGCGGTGAACAGTGCGGCCTTGAGTTTTCGCCAGTTTGTGGCAGCGACGGCAAAACTTATTCCAACGAATGCAGCCTTAGACAGGAAGCTTGTAGATCAAAGTTGCAGCTCAGAAAGATCTACAACGATGCATGCACTGCAAGTGGGTCTGACTTGAAGTTTTCAAGTAGGGTTCTTGGGGGCAGATGGGATATTCGGAACTGCTGACCGGAAAATCCCATTTACATAAATTTACACAATATTTACTAATTCCGGTCCTGTGCATGCTTCAATACTGCAAACATATCGACTTGGACTATAAACATAATTAGAATTGTTGGACTTGATAAAAGATAATTCTAATTAAGTGTAGCCTGCCGCTTATTGAAGCGTTGTGCACCTCAAGTATTGTACTCTCATTTAAGTGTCCGTCTACTTAAAATAGTCGTTTCTTTCCCCGGTCATGCACTAACTTTCCTCCTGATGAGATTATTTACAAAACCCCTTAAAACTCTCTCGACAACTAAATAAAATGATAAAATCCTATACTTACGAAACTTTGTCCGTCAGACTCTTCATTTACTTTCAAGTTGATTAGTTTTTTAAAAAACTTTTGTTCTCTTAAAAAGAACTTTCTCCGCTTAAACGTATTTTACGACATGAATTTTTTGCTTTCCAGTGAACAATCCTTGCGATGGTGCTCACTGCGCTCCTTATGAGCAGTGTGTAATTGATAAATTCGGTTATGCCACCTGTGAGTGTGGACCAAAGTGCGAGCCCGTCATGAGGCCAGTTTGTGCCAAAGGAGGGAGAACCTATCCTTCCCTTTGCGAACTAAAACAACAGGCATGTCTTACGAAAAACAATATCGAATTGGCCTACACGGGGAACTGCGGATCCAAAGGTCCTTGTTTGGCGAAGGTCAGTAATATTTCTTTTTAATTAAAATTAAAACACAATTTTTCAGGAATTTAAACTAAAAGTGAAGGATTTATGAATTTATTAATTGCTCTTTTACAAGGTTTGACAGTTTTTTTTAGCTACTCTTTACCTTCTGTGTTTCCTTTTAACTCTTCAGAATAGGATTTGTCCTTTTTTCCTTCCTTATCCACCTTCTACGACGCGACGAACTTCTCGACCCACAGTTATTGCTAATTGGATGGCAACCTGAATCGGATAACGTCTAAGTAGTTGGAGTGTCTCGTGAATGAACACTGTTGCCCAAGCAACGACTAACCGTTGATATAAACCTCTGCCAAGTAGAAAGAATCTTCCTATTTTGTGCTCGGAACAGCTCGGAAGAAGTGCACTTTCTATGCGCTATACAATCTTGACAAAACGTTATTATTGTTACATTCTGCACTGTAAATTATTATATTAGACAAATTTAAAAAGAAAATTCAATTTTCATAGAGAAGAGTTGCTTTTTTAATATATGTACGTGGATAAAGGGAGAAAAATAAGAGTACGGAATAGAAAATGAGTTGGGATTTAAGGAAGAGAAGGATCGTCTGTACTTTTCTGTCTTTTCCATAATTTGTAGAAAATTCGAAAAAGTGGAAAGACAAACGAGAACAGGAAGGGATTTAAAGTAATAAATCGTACTCTTTTGGCGCGCTCTTTTTCTAGCTTTTCGTCTTGGTCGTCTTTTCAGACATGAAAAGAAGACTTCTCATTCTTTTCCTCCCTCTTTTTCTTACAGGTCTGCCAATGGGGTGCAGTTTGCGCCGAGAATGGAGACACGGCCACCTGCGAATGTCCCACTTGCCCAGCGGAATTTCAACCCGTTTGTGGCAATGATGGCATCAGTTACGGAAACGAGTGCAAACTTCGCCTCGAGGCTTGCCAGCATCGTCGCGAAATTCGCGTTCTGTACACCGGACTTTGCAGTGAGTAAAACCATCAAACAAGCGTCATCTGTCCCAATAAGATTATTATAACTTTTCTTTTCTCTTAATTGCTAATTTCTTTTTTTACATCAACAAAGTCCTTTCAGCAAGAATCAATGAAATTAACTCCTTTTTGTGTGATTTAATGTGTAATAATCAGAATGAAAAAGAGGGCAAGTATAAGAAGAAAAAAATGTTCGTGCTTAGTTTCATGCTAGCGTGCGTGTCATATGAATGGCTGACTTTTCCTTTTGCCCCGATTGCTGAAACGATTAATAATAAAAATGGTCTTTCACTCACCCTCGCATGTTGCTAATGAACAAAATGAGAGGTGCAGAACGTCTACCATTACAAGAAAATTCACATAACAATAGTGTACCATCTTTTTATTTTCATATTTTTCAACAAGTCCTCTTTTTAAATTAGATGGCATATCAAAGTCTGCGTACAGTATGGAAATCTGAAAATGAATAGTCACAATGGTCAGAAACTGTGCAGCACCTGCAATAAATTCATTTACAACGCAAATTCACACATTTACAAGTGTAAATACAAACGGGGCTACATGTACATTTCTTATACAGTATATTATAAAGCGTATTTATAAATTGAGAAACTTCCATGTTCTTAATGTACTGAAACACTTTCTCATATGAACTTTAATGCACACTCTTTCCGTAAGTTTTAAAAATTTATTCCTCTCTCAACTGTTTCTTGGTGACATTAAAATTTAAACAATTTTTTAGCCTGCGAAAGAGAAGATTTTCTAAAAGCCTTAAATCCGTCTCATGCATGTAAATTTCTAATAATTTTTCATGTATGAAAAACTTTGAAAAGTACACTAAGAAATTTTTATTTGTTTTCGTAAGAACAATGTTTTTTAAGAGTATATAAATTATAAAATGACAGAAATGGAAAGTTTTAATAGGGAGAGAAATCTTTTTTAGAGAAAAGGAAAAGTGCATAAAGTTTAATAAAATTTTGCCTTAGTTAGGAAAGCTTGGGTTGTCTTTGAAATTCTGGGTTTCGTGTCGATTCATTTTAAAGGATGTAAGAACGTGTAAACTACTCGTGAAAAGGTCTGTAGATTAAAATATCGTGATGGCGCGACTTGCTTTGCCAGCAACGAGTTGTTACCCGAAGGCATATTATACATATGCATGCAGCAACCACCAACCCCTTTACACCATGTGCAACCACTAGCATCCTTCGAAGCCCCCAGAGATTCACGACGGATTTCAATGAATTCTAAAAGATACTTCTCCAGTCTTGCTTTACTTTCTCTCTCTCTCTCTCTCACTAGGATTTTTTTTTCTTTCTTCTTTTTTCTTTACTAAAATTCAAAGTGCCAAGAGGATTGGGCCAGTATTCTTTTAACTATGAAAAAAATGTTCTCGAAAGCTACTTTATAGTTAACTATTTCTCCGGCTATTACTTTAAAAATTCAAAACGAGAAAAGTGCAATTTTGCAAACTTAATCATTTCAAGTGAAAATTTCAACTTTCGCGATTAACCAAGTTTGTTTAAGCTTCATTTCTCTTAATGAATATTTATAAACTTGCAGTTCAAATTTAAGACGATTCTGAATTTCCATTTTAATTTCGATTCCAGATTATTAAAACGAATTTCGTTTGTCATTGTTCCATTTAGAGTTTAAAAGTTTTGAATCCGATTATGATTAGAATGATTCTTTTCGTTATGATTTTCTCAGTCGAGTCTTTTTTCCCTCTATTATATTCCGACATCTGGGAGTTAATTTCCTTCGAACGGGAATCTTTGTTAGAGATGCAAGGTGATTTAATCTTTAGAAAAAATGCGAACATTAATATTTTTAGATCTTTTCCCAACTTGAGATTTTGTGTCTTATGTTTACAGATGGCTGTGAAAATAAAAAATGCGACTATTATGCCGAATGCGAGAGTGACAACGGCGGAGAAGCGAATTGTGTTTGCCCTAAATCTTGTGAAAATGTGGTGAGTTGAAATATTTTTCCACTAATTTCGCTTTTGCTTTTATTGAATAATCAATCCTGCATTTACGTTTGATGTAAGAGTTTTATTTGTTGTAAGAGTTAAAAGTGAACTTGAGGAATGAAAATGTAGAACATTATTGAAAATAATCAAGTTTGACAGAGGAGAAAATCCGAAGTGAAGAAGTTTCTTTAGAAAGCGAACCATTCCGGGGCTGAGAAATCGAATGACTTCCTAATCCAAAGAGTGCATCCGTAGCGCGTAATTCTGAATTCTTTGGCAGTGGTGATATTCTCTGATGTCTTCCCATGATCGGCCACGTCGCATCGCCTTAGCAGAGAAAGGAAAAGAACTCTCGAAAAAGAATAGAAAGAAATAAGAAAAGGCCAAGTCCTTTACTCGCTTCTTCAGAAGCGGAATTTCTATCTGGTAAAACCGATGAACTCTGTTCACGTTCTCAAAGGAAACAAACACTGTAACTTTCTTAATGGAAGCCTATCAACCTCATCATTCTTTTTTCTTCCGTACAAATCAGAAAGAAGATTATCTTTATTTGATACGTGCCGACACAGGGGTTAATTAATTACCTTTTTTCAAATATACAGGAAACTGTAATTATTAAATAAAACTTGGCACTTTTTTTCAATAACAAACTGATGACATAGCGGAACTGTATTTTGAGGTAATTTTAGAATTGATCAGCAAAAATCTTTTCTAATTCTTTCATCTTCTTTTGATAAGCAGTTGGAGAAGCTTAAGAAGCACTGCGAGTGCAAAACGATTTCTGACAAGTCAGCGATAAGACAGAAAGAAGAAATGGAAGTGAAAAGTTTTTCTCAAAGATTCCAAATTAGACACTATGTGATCTACATCGTCAAAATCGCACAGCATTGGTTTCCTAAGACTGCAAGAGAAAAGAAAAAAATAGTTTTAAAAAATATTCCGAGTGCACCATTCGGTTAAATGATTTTGAAAGAACTTGTATTTTTCAAACTAAAAGCGAATTCAATCAACTCTCATTCAGAGACTTTTTTTGAAATCAAAAATAATTTTAACTGCTACCTACAAAGGGGGTTTCAATTCAATTAAAATTTAGATGTCCCAATCTTTAATAGACAACAAAAATTAATAAAAGAATTTATATATTTTTCCCTAGTTTTATAGTAAAGAATTAAGTAATATTTACGAAAATTCCTGCTTTATCAAATAATTTACTATAATTGTGACGACAGAATTTAAAAGGAAGATCAATTTTTAAGCTTTCCATTCACTTTACAAGCATTTCATTTTTCATTAAGAGACTCCTTAAGGTTTTAAGTAATTTAATTAAAGAAAAAAAATGAAAAATAGTTTAACAAAGCTGCTTAGGTTTTATGGTAATTTCTTGACGAGGTCAGAGCTTTGCTTTTCAATTACAGACGCAGGTTGCTGGTGCCACTACTAAAGTTTGTGGATCAAACGGCATGACTTACGCGAGCGAGTGTGCGCTGAAAAAGGCCGCTTGTGAAGTACAAATCCTCATCGAAATTAACTACAGAGGAGATTGCGGTAAGTTTATAATTATACAACCTTTTTGTTTTTTCACACAAAGAGCACAATAATTGTGTTAAATTATTTAAACATGACAATTTGAAAGAAGAAAGAATTTTCTTCAAGTTTGCGCATTTGTTGAAAAATTTTTAGAACAATGTTCAAGTGTGGAGTGTGAGAACGGTGCCCACTGCGTGGCAGGCGTTTGCGTCTGTCCGCAAAACTGTCCAGACAAATCCGGAGAAATTGTTTGCGGCAGTGACGCGAAAACGTACACTTCCGAATGTGAACTTCAAAAGGCCGCTTGCGAACGAGATCCAAAACTGCCACCACTGCAAGTGATTTTTTACGGGGAGTGTGTCGAGAAATTTCCAGTAGCTGCTCTAAGTAAGTCTCTCGTAACTGGTCCAAGAGTTAATTTTATTCGAGTAAAGTAACTGCATTTCGATGTAAAATATTGTCTCGCAAATTCGTACAACCTTGCTAACAAAGTTTCACTAAAGTTATGCCTTCCTTGGTAAACTAATTTCGAAAACTTGAATCACTTACATTATCGTTTCTGAACTGTTTGTAACTTATTAGACTATAATAACTCTCCGGCTTTGCTAACCTTTGAAACCTCCAACTATTAACCTCGCAGCCACCATGTCCACTCCGGCAATAACTCGAGTAGTAACAACTGTGGCTGAAGTAATCGGCACTCAGGAGCGAGAGGCTTGCAAGGATATTCACTGCGACTTTGAAGCCACCTGTGAGTTGGGACCAGATAAATTTCCAAGGTGCAGCTGTAAATTCGATTGCGCTTCAATATCGCCGGAAAATATGCGCACTGTCTGCGGAAGTGACCACCGAACTTACCCCTCTCTTTGCGCAATGAAGATGGAGGCTTGTCAGAGGCAGCAGGAGCTCAGGCTCAGACCGATCGACCTCTGCGAAGGTTCGACACTTCATCTGCGATTATAAGCTTTTATTTTGCTTTTATTTTGCTTTTACTAAAATTCCCGCTTATTAACGATAACATAATTTCCTGTAAATAACTTAGTTTCAAGCAGAAATGTAGTGGAATTTTTAATTTTCCTGTTAAGCCAACGTTTTATTTCATTTTAATGAAAATTCCATTTTAGAGATATTTTTATCTCAAAAGAGACTCTATTTGTCAAACTAGGTATGGAAGTAAAACCTTGCAATGGAGATCCTCCACTAATTGATGTAGAGGGTAGAGAAATCGATTGTGGAAATGGACCTCAACGGAAAGATTGTCCTAGTAATAGTTATTGCCATCAGACTCAGCGCTTTGCTCGTTGTTGTAAAAAAGGTACTGTTACATATTACAATATTTTTTCTTAATTTCAATATTTAAGGAAAACTATTAATTATTATTATAGACTATACTATAATCTTCGTATTCTTTCATTCATTCTGTCCGCTCTCCGCAGTTTGAAGTTAGTTTTGGTGTATGCTTTTGTTTTTTTTTCTTTAAAAAATATTCTTTCACAAATCGAAAATATGCAGGTATTTTTTCCTCATTCATAATAAAATTCAATTTTTTCAAAAATAAGGAAAAAAAACACCTTATAAATTCTATTTGCCAATTACTTGAAAATATAAAGTTTTGAATGTTTAGAAAATAAGGGAAAAAATGTTCTGTTACATTCTCTCTAAATATACATTAGTAAAAAGGTTTACAAATTTAAATTAGTGACTGCCTTTTTGCTTTTAAATTAGTACATTTTACTAATAAATTAGCAGAAATGACTATTTATTAGTAAACTATACTAATTCAAAAGCAAAAAGTCAGTCACTATTTCGAATTAGTAATTGGAAAATTATTTAAAAATATCAGTAACTTCTTTTTCAAATAAATATTTAATTATTATTATTTTTCCATAGGAATTAAGATTCTCAAAATTTTCAAATTCAAACCTTTTTGAAATTAAAGAACTTTAAAAATATTTGTTATAAAACATGAAGATAGCGATTGCTCCGAGTCGAAGACTCGGAGTGATCGATTTCTTCATTTTTTTATAATAATTAAAGATGTTCAAGAGATAAAATAATTATTTTATATTATAAGAATATTTTTACTGTAACTTCTTCAAAATTATTTTTACATTCAATTATTATTTAAAATTTTAACTAAAATTCATTTTTAAATCAATTTTTATTAGATTATTCTACGAGTATGCAGCTATTTAAATACAAAAGTAAATTATTTATTGAATAATTAAATGTGTCTTAAAATTTAATTCTTCTACTAAATTTTATTACCAAATTTTTATATAATCGAATTCTTTTGACAAACATTAATAAAAATTTTTAAGAATAGTTACATTTTTCAACAAATTCGATTAAAATTGTATTAAAAATAAAATAAAAATAATTAAATGTGTCTTAAAATTTAATTCTTATACGAAATTTTATTACCAAATTTTTATATAATTGAATTCTTTTAACAAACTTTAATACAATTTTTAAGAATAGTTACATCTTTCAAGAAATTCGATTAAAATTGTATTAAAAATAATTGAATTATTGAGAAGAAACTTATAAAAAATTTGTAAATAATTGAATTCCTGTGGAATTTTTATTCTACTCATGAAAATAATTAAATGTTTGCGTACAATTTTATTAAATTTTTTTTTCAATAATTGATTTCTTTTGGATAGTTTTATTAAAATAGTAGAGATATTGAAAATTATTGAAATGAGGAAAATTTTTGTAAACAATTGAATTTTGAAGAAGAATTTTATTATTATAAAGATAATTGGGATTTTGACGAGATTTTTTTTCAATTTTGAACATAATTGAATTCTAAAAATTAAATTTTTTTCAGTTCTTTTAATAAAAATCCCTGATTTTTCCGTGAATTCCCTGTGTCAAAATATATGATTATTATAGTTATAATAATATTAAAACTATATTCCAATTCATATTTTATTTTTATGAAAATAAATTTGAATTAAAAATTTGTACGTTTTATTATTTTTAAAATTGCTGATTTCATTGAAAATTGTATTTAAAAAAGTGAGTAAAAAGTTATTTGTTATTGCCAGTTGTACATTAAACGCTAGAGAACTGTAGAGACAATTTAATTATATCTAAAGGAAATATTGATTAAAGAAAAGTTGAACTCTTTCATATTTTCGAGCGGGAGAAGAAATTTGTTTCTACGCCTTCTTCGAAGCGTAATTACAAACGCTATTCAGACAATATTAAAGTAAAATTCTTTCACAAAAGCTATAGGTGCATGCAATGTATTGTAAAAATCTAAAAATAAAATTAATAGCAAACTTTGAAAAGTGTATTGTATACCGATTGTTGCAGAACAAGGTATTCAAGTTGTGAGGTGTATAGATTCGTGGCATGGTTGTTGTCCCGATGGGAAAACACCGGCTCTAGGACCCGATGGGGCAGGCTGTCCCAGTGTCTGCAATTGTAACAGATTAGGTAGTATGTCTGATGTCTGCGATCCCGAATCTGGCCAATGTGAATGTCGACCAGGTGTCGGTGGCGCAAAGTGCAATAGTTGCATGCCCGGGTATTGGGGTCTCCCCAAAATCAGCGAGGGTCATCAAGGATGCATTCGTAAGATAATAAACAATTTCAACAATAGAATTAAACAATGATACACATTCTACTATAAAGCAGTTTTTATTATCTACTCGATAATGAAACTCTTTTTATACACGTAAAGATTTCTCCTTGTACTGCAAACGTCAAGCTCATGACGCACAATGCACTATTGTCAGGTTGATATTTCATTTCTTATTGTTTTACACATGAATTGCAAGATTTTTTCAAAAGATTTGTTCTATTAAAAATTTTGCCTTTACTGGGAATAATTTTATTAAAATTATAATCAATAATTCTGTCTGACTAAAATTGACTACTTATTTTCAGACAAGTACTAAAAACGAAATTTAATTAAAACAATGTATAAATTAAATATCAAAAGTTCGTAAAGAGAATTTTAATAATCTAAAAACTTTTTTATCGGGAAATTTTAAAATGAAATTTTTCTACCTACCACTAGAAATAAAAATAGTAAATGGAAAAATATTTTCTTTAGCTTGTGGCTGTTCACTGTTTGGCTCAGTTCGTGAAGATTGCGAACAAATGACTGGTCGCTGTGTCTGCAAGGCTGAGATTCGCGGTCAAAAGTGCACCATCTGTAATGATCACAATAAAGTCCTCACACCATCCGGATGCCAGTCAGGTATTTCAAATTTCACTCAGCCAATTTCGTTTTGTCCTCATTTCTTATAATTTTATTGTTTCATTGAGTTTTATGAAGGAGTTGAACATTCAACTCTACAAGAGTTTTAATTTAAAATTCAGTTGCAATAATAATAATAATTTTACTCCCCGATCGTAAAAGGTCGAAATGTCTTGGAATAATTGAGGACCTGATGTAATATTTCTCCTCTTGGTTACATTCGCAGCTGACTCAATTCTGCCTGAAATGCCCGACTCTTGCAACAAATTGGACTGCTATTCGGGCGCACATTGCTCGGAAATTGGCGGTCCACACTGCGAGTGCCCTTCTGCTTGTCCCGCGGACGTTCCTCTGGTCCCAGTTTGCGGCAGCGATGGGCAGACTTACGATAATGAATGTGAGCTACGACTTTATGCCTGTCGTCATCAAGCCGACGTCGTCACGCAGGCTTTCGGTCACTGCAGAGGTGGGTTCACTGAGCGTACACCTCTTTACATAATGCGCTACTAATTCATCGTCACTAGTATTAACCCACAAGTATAACGATAACATTTTAGTTTCGTCAAATACTTTACCCTAACTTTACGAGTGTAAAGTAACTTTACGAGTCGAGACAAACTGTCAAGACACAAGCTGTGTTTTTAGAATTAATCAAGCTATTTGTAAATTATTTTATGTAAACTGTCACTGAAAATAGTTTTCTAAATGCTGCCTGTTAACTCCAACTAACATGATAACCTTTGTAACCTGTAGACTTAATAAACTGTTGACGGTTTTATTAATCCCATGCATATCTTAATAACCCTTTAAAACCCCAAAAAAATTCTACTGTCAAATTTAATTAAAGTAAATGGAGTTAAAAATGTTTTGTAAAAATAATAAGTTTTAGTAATTCTTATTTAAATTAAGTTAACGACTTTAACAATTTCAAACAATCATTTTTCCTTCTTTAATTCTTTTAAATATTCAATTCTTTTCTTTAAAACGAATAATTATTAATTGATAATCCCTTATTATTGAGACAATTTCTTGAACTCTAATAATTTTTTCGAGAATATGTAACGAGATTAACTTTCTAGAAAATCTGAAATCTGGTTATAGGGTAAATGCACTAGTAGTCGGACACTTAAGGATACAATCTTAAATTATGCTTTTTTTCTTGAAATAGCAAATATCTACTGTGTTTATAAGCACATTATTAATTAAAGAAGTTCTTCAGGATTAAAAATCATATAAATTTGTTACAAATAGTTCAGTATTTAATAAAATATAAACATTTTAATAAAAAATTACGAATGCTTTAGTAGTCGGACACTTTTTCCCCTTGTTTCTATAGTCGGACATCTGTCAGATATTTTGAATTTATAAAGTGAAAAAGATAATTTTTTAATTGCTATCTACTGGAAAATGGAATTAAAGCATATTAGAAGTTATTAATATAATATTTAAACCTTATAAGTTTTAATATTTATGATTAATTATCAACAAAACTTTGTGCCACTCATCGCGCTACTCGAAAATGGCTGTATCTATAGTCGGACACCATGATTTTTAAAACATTAAATAAAATATTTCTTGTTTAATTATTTTCGAAAATAACACTATTTTAATAAAATATAAACTTCACACATTCGTTTTGTATACTTTTTAAAGTAATTATCACAATGCATTATTATTTATTTGCCAAAAAACACGAAAGTGTCCGACTACTAGTACTGTCCGACTATACCCGCACTTACCCTATGAAATCTCGGAAATTTCCAGTTAAATTGAAAATAAATTTGCCAGAGATAATTTTCCTTTATTTCAACATTATTTTATTAATAACAATGATATTATTAATAATGATATTAATAATAATGGTATTAATAATAATGAACAAGTAATATAAGAACAAAATAAAAAAGAAAGGATTAAAGTAGGTGAAGAATATAAATAAAACTGTCTTTCATATATATTTGGTAAATTAAATAGTTTTTAAAAATAGTTTCAATTTTTGATCAAGTAAATAAATATTTGAACAAAGAGACCTACGAACGTTGGACTTAATCTGCATTTAATTTTTGATGCACAAAACAGAGAAATGCACTTTGCAGAGCAATAACTCGACCATCAGTTGGTTTCTCGAGCCATTAATTCACCTTTGTAATAGAGCTTTACCAATATTATATTTACAGCTTAATGACAAACTTGAGGAAAGATAACAATAGTATATTCCCCGCCGACACCTCTTCAAAAATGTTTATGTTAACACATGAAGGTGTTAGAAAACAGACTTAAATTATTATTTCTAATAATAGTGTGGCTAAATTTCATTCTCAAAAAATACTTATATTTTTCGGTTTCTTTCTCCAATTATTCAGACTTTAATTTTATATTATTAATCGTTACGTTTACTCGCACTCCTTTGTGTATTTATTTGTCTACTTTCTATTTTTTGCATTATCGCAAAAAGAAACGCTAAAATAGTAATTTTTCCAAGTTATTAATTGAATATTAGATGATTTTAACTTGAATTCAATCCTTTAATCAGTTGACAAGACTCAAATATAAGGATATTTGCATTTAGAAACGATCGTAATTCTCTCTCAGTTCCCATAAGCAAATATTCATTTCCGAAAGCACGGTTCAATAAATTCAGTTGACACAATTGATTTCTTTTTTCCCCAAATAAACCCTTATTTAGTTTATTTAGTTCTCACAGGACTTAGATCGTTAAAGTCAATATTCGGACTCTCGTATAACTATTTAATTGTTATTATTCTTGACGAAAAGCGTTTAAAAGAAAGAAAGAAAGTTTGAGTACCCAATTTTTTTGAATTTTATCTTTTTTTTACTAATAAATGAATTTGAACGACAATTTATTATCTCTTAAATTGTGAAAGTCAAGAATCTATTAAACTGGAAGATTGCGTTGCTTCTTATTTTCAATTCCGCGACTCGTTTTCAGGTCTTCCTAAGTTTGAAGGGGTAGGTCGAATGAAAGAAAAGTCAATCTTTTTAAAAGTTTCTGCTGGACCTTGTGCAACTTGCTCTTGCGAGTTGAAATAAATTAGATTATGGAAGGCCAGTTCCAGGCGTACTTTAGACTTCGAATGGGAAATGCTGTGGAGTTTTTGTATTTCCTGTAACTGAGATTCTATCCAACCGTTCGTCTCTACTTTTCTGTCTCAATGACGACAAAAAATAAATTCTTCTTGTTCTCCTTTCTAAAACTTGAATTTACCTAAAAGGAGTAGATGGAAATTATTAGAAAATTATTCAATTAGTAATTGAAATTCGCATATTTGTTAAATAAAAACAAAGACAAATTGAAAATTTGGTGTTTGGTGAGATTTCTTGTTTCTATTGCAGTTTCATTTTAACGAGGTCTAGAAATTGCATTCTCGCACCCCTTTCCTTTTGAACTTTCTACTTGAAAGTCTTTTCTTTTTCTTTTTTCATTTTTCCGTAAACTGATAGGTACTGAAAATATACGTCGTAAATAAGCAGTAAAATAAATACACAAATGGATGAATAAATAGATCAAGAGTTACATTATAAATGAGTTGTAATAAACGAAGGTGCGGGTACTCTTTGAAAAAGTAATGAAAGTTGTCGACACTGCAAATAACAAGAAAGTAAGATAAAATCGCAAAGTAATTAAATTCTCATCAGTTTCTGCAAACTCTCCCTTTCTATTCAGGAAAGTCATCTTATCGAACAGAAAGAATATTAATCGTATTGATATAGAAAAATAAAAGAGGAAAATTTTTAATGCCAACTTTCATTAGAACCAAACCTTCGCATCAATTCATTAGGAAACTCTTTCCACCCTTCAGTGAATTTAGTCTAAAAATACATTTTCAATTTAAATTAAAATTACAAAGATTTCTTTAATAATTTTAAAGTCCATACATATATATATATATATTTGAAAATCAGTTGAATTAAATATGCGCATTTGTCTAATAAAATTGTAAAAGTGTCACTGCTTAGATCCAACTTACAATTTTCAGATGACCCCTCGGTCAATACGGACTTTCCCGTGAAGAGATACACAGCTGTGCAATTTACTCAACCCGCAGCTGCAATTTCTCCATTATCGAAATCCACAAGACATCTTCTAGTACCCGAACCAGATCCACGGTATTATTATACTCATCGAGCTTACCAAGAAACGATTACAGTCGATCGTAATAATTTAAAGCAGGGTAAGTTTATTTATTTAGAAAAGTGATCTCGCAGGAAACTTGCAAATATTTTGAAACCAAAAGAGCAGTTAAAGTAAAATATTTTTTATTCATGCATGTTTATATATGTTTCATTGAGTTTACTAATTTCCGCAACTAATGAACATAAAAAAAAACCTGTTGTAAATTAAAATTTCAATTGTGAGAATTGAGAAATTAACACGAAATAATAATTAATTTCGTTTGTGAATATATAATTTTATATTCCCACTGTTACATCCAGTATCAAATAATTAAAATACATTTGGTGAAGTTGTTCACAACATTTATAATCAATACTTTGGAAGAAAAATATATTTTGTTCTATAAAAAATTTGTTGTTGTTTTTTGATCAATAATCTGAAATTTAAAGACTACAAGTTTTATTGATTTCGTTAAGAAACATGATTTTTTTCTTACAATCGTTGATCATAGACGTTATATGAAAGCAAGAAAATATATTTCTGATGTATTCATTTTTTCTCTCGGAAAATATATTTTTTGACTTGATTAATTATTCGTGTATGAAATATATGTCTCTAATTTTCAGGGGTAGCTGCGTCTTATCGACCAACACCAGCAACCATAAGAGTAGTGACTGCCTTGTTAGGAGATCTTTGTTCCGATGACAGAGATTGTACAATTGCAAACAGCGAATGCCTTAAAGGAGGATGCATTTGCTCTGACGGATACTCTGAGACGAGCGATAGACAAGAATGCTTTGGTAAAACGAATTTTTAAGTTAAAAAAATCTTTAACAGTAATAGGATTGTCAAAATTAAATTTTCTTTTTCATTGATTTCCAGACAAAATTTTGATTTCTTTCCTTAAAGAATATTCTGATTTACTCTTAAAATTATTAGATACTCAAAAAAATGTTATTTTCCCTGACTTGTGGCAAACCTGAATAATTATTAATAATTATTTGCGCGATAAATAAAATGAAATGACAAATTTGAATGAATTTTTCTTTTCAGCCAATTACATTCCAGTGACGTCGACAGAAGAATTTCGTGCGTGTTTGTCTTATCCATGTCACATGTCTTCGACCTGTATCGATCTCCCCAGTGGCACCTTTGTTTGCATCTGCAAACCCAACTACACAGGTCTACTTTGTAACGAGGAAATTAACAGGAGGGACTACGACATGCCCTCTTTCGATGGCAAGAGTTACGTGAGAATGGACAGACTCAAGGCCTATCACAAATTTAGCATCGAAGTTGAGTTCATAACGTACGCCAAGAATGGAATCATTCTCTACAACCAACAAAAGGCGGACGGCAGTGGAGATTTCGTTTCTCTCGCTATTGTCGACGGGTGCGTTACTCGATCAAATGATTCATATAATTTACACTGATTAACTTTTGAATTAACGCTTTTATTTGTTGTACACAGATACATGCAGTTCAGATACAACTTGGGAAATGGACCCGTCATTCTAACTTCTCCAGAGAAAGTGGAAATGAAAACGTTTCATCGAGTCGCTGCCAAACGGTACCATAAGGACGGAGTTTTAATTTTTAACGATGGCGAAGACGTTGCTGGACAAAGTCAGGGGATGTTGAAGTCTCTGGACCTGAATCACGACAGTTTCATTGGAAACGTTCCGACGAATTTCACAAAGTGAGAATTGAAACAGAAATTAATTTGCAACATTTATTAACCACCATTCGTCATAAATGATTTATAATTAATTAATTTTCAGAGTCTACGAAAACATTGGGACAAATCACGGATTTTTAGGATGCATTCGAAAATTGAAAATTAACAGAATACCCATTGACCTTTATATTGGACACGATAAAAATATTCTCGAGACTTATCGCATTAAGGAATGTGAGGACAATGCTTGTGCGAATCTCCCTTGTCAAAATGGGGCCACATGCCAGCCGATATTCGAGGAGGATCTTTGCGACAATCAGGAGTGTGAGAATCTCGAAAAGAAGAGTAAGGGTAAAAGAAAAAGTGAGAAGAACAACAATATGAGCATTATAAAGTGCAAAGGTTCTCATTGTACTCCAGTAGAGCAGAAAAGAGCTAAGAAGAATGTCAAAAGAAAGTGTTCATCGTCAGAGTGCGATTACGATTTTGATCTTGATTTCAATAACTTTGAGCATGAAAATTACGCTGTTTCGAAATACGAACCTCCTGAGTATAAATGCATTTGTCCTCCTGAGTATACAGGGAAAAATTGTGAGCAGTCCTTGGATCCTTGCATGGGTGAGCCTTGTCAACATGGAGCTACTTGCGATATCTTGCCCCAGGGTGGATACGTCTGCAAGTGTCCTCCGGGGAGAACTGGAGAGCACTGCGAAATTTGTAAGTGAAACATTAATTATTTATTTTCGTGAAAGAAAGCAAATTCTTAAGAGCATTTTTCTCAACAGTGGACGCAGAGTTGACGGAGTTTCATATTCCGGAAATGAATGGTTATGGATTCCTGGAGTTGCCTTGTTTGGACGGTGTCGCTAAAGCATTCTCTATCGAACTTTGGTTCTTGACGAAGGCGAACGATGGTCTTCTGCTCTACAATGGTCAACTGAACAACGGACGAGGCGATTTCATTAGTTTGAATTTAGTCAATGGAAAGTTGGAATTTAGATTTAATCTTGGAAGTGGAATAGCTAACATTACATCTCCCGATACTGTGTCTCTCAGTTCTTGGCACTGTGTAAGAATCAGTAGACTTGGCAGAGAGGGGTTATTACAACTTGATGATGGAAATCTAGCGCGAGGATTGTCCGGAAGTCCCTTGACTGAATTAAATCTCGAAACTCCTCTCTACGTCGGAGGGGTCAAGTAAGTATCCAAATTCTACATCCTTTTTGATTAAAAGATTAAAATGTATTAATAAACATTTGTCTACGCAGAAACTGGGGAGAGGTTCACCGTCTCTCAGGAACCTACAAAGGACTCCAAGGAGCAATTCAACGATTAATGATAAATGGAAAAACGTATCAAAATCTTGCCGTGAACATCACCCAACACAATACCGAAATCTACGACGGTCTTCCTTGCCCCAAAAACGAAAATCCATGTCACAATGGTGGCGTCTGCTTGCCTCTCTTAAACAGTTATCTTTGTAAATGTGCAAATGGTTACAATGGCTTACACTGTGAATTCCGTAAGTACATTTCTTATAATCATCAGCAAAAGCCCTGAATCACTTGTAATACAGTTTAATCACTTTGAAACAGTTATGGGTTACGATATTTCCAATGGAGAAACTGTGGACAGACCCGTTCGTTTCAATGGAGAAAATTTCCTACAATTCAAACATCGATTCGGAAGAAGGTAACGTGTATCAAAACTTGATAACAATTAGAAATTTAGAGAAGATTATTATTTTCTGGAATGATATCAATACTTACAGTCATTAACAATTAACCTAATAATGGTTTCCTGATCTATCTAACTATCTAATATGAAAACTAATTCTTCTAATCAGTGCTAATTCTACTAATATAACACTTGGGGAATATATCGACGATTCCTACTCCGATTACGACTTTGAGGAAGATGTCGATTATGAATATGACAATTATAACTACATAGAGTAAGTTAAAACTCGCTTTGCGGACACGGTAGTTGATTGCTCTCATACTTGGAAATTCATTTTTTTATCTACAACCTCAATTTATAGATTCTTTTATTATTTTCAGACGAAGGGGACAACAGTCCAATAAATTCGAATTAAGAGTAAGAACAACGCATCCAGAAGGACTGATTGCTTGGATTGGAAGAGGAAAAATTGAGTATTTAACATTAAGCTTGCATGGTGGATACGTTGTTCTTTCCTACAAAACCAAACACGAGGAAATATCCTTAACGAGCAGAGTAAGTAAAAATTATTTACACATTTTCCATGCAGCAATAAAAAATCATTTTTCGTTCGACAGGAAAAAATTGACGATGGCGTATTTCATCATATTCGAGCATCTAGAAGACGAAAAGCAACTATTATACAAATTGATGACGAGACTCCAGTAAAGATGTCAACAGAAACAACAGTCTTAATGACGAATGGAAAATTATTTATTGGTGGTAAGCCGGGATTCCACGGGATCAAGGGTTGCGTGACGGACTTTGTCGCTGACAAAAAAAGAATTACCCTGACGAGGAGAAAAATTGAATTTTGCCACGACAACGACGTATGATAGTGAATCAGCAACGACCAATTCAATGAATAAAATTTGAGGGATATTTGGTGGTTTTTTGCTCTCTCATTGGAAATGACTGTTGAACAGCAATTAGCAAGAAAGTATTATACGCAAACCAAATGTTCTCCGACCTTAGAATTCTCCAAGTCGTTCTCAAAAATAATAAGTCTGATAATAATCGATCGACTGTGCCTAGTAGCCTAACCGATTTATTGAGATTGAGGACGAGTTTCAAGTGCTACGTTTTCATCCAAGGACAATAATATATTTTTAAGAAAAAGAGCTGAAAACATTTTTCAATGTTTGAAAGCAGATATTTAAATTATATATATATACAAATAGTGAAATATAAATATTAGATATTAATTAAAGTTTAAGAGTAATTTTTAAAAACGAGTATTAAATATAAATATTAAGCACAAATTATAAATAAACAAATAAGTATATAAATATATATATATATATATATATATGAAATGTGTAATTATATACAAATTAAAATTAAAAAAGTATACGTACAATTAGACTCAAGTAAGTAAGTAAGTCGGCAGAAAACGAAATGAATAGAAGGAAGAGTGCAAGAACCCTGCTGACGCACCTAAAACGTTAAGATGCCAAGACTGACTAATATGAATGAAGAAGAAAAACTTAATCAGTGTTATGTTTGAGTGTTCAGTAGAGAGATTTATCACTGTGGATTCCTTAGATAGAAATATGTATTTTAAATGACTGTTGATTTATGCCAGTAGAAACCACATTGTTTAAGGTAGGCGAGGCTTTTTATAAAAGATCGACAAGAAAATAATAGTTTATACTAAAAATGAAAATGTAGACGGTGTAGCTAAATATTGATATTACATTCCATGCAATGGACACCTGTCATAAATAAGTCATACTTAGGAAAATTCGTACACACCTGTTACGTATGCTTTAAAAAGAGATTAACAATTATTATCAATGCATTAGGAATAGGAATAATGAAATGGGCGCGCAAGAAGAAAGCAGGTATATTTGTCTGTATATTGGTCTAAGTGTGGAGATTGTAAATATTATAGCTTCAATCGTGAAAGACGATTTATCATCGACAGCTTATAATATGTATCATCTATTTAACAATCGTAACCAATTGTCATCGCATAAATTATAGTCAATTCCCTGCTTAGCCATTTCATTTTTAGCAGCGTTTTCCATCACATCACATCGATCCTTCGTGTTAAGTTCAATATGCGACTGATTATTTTCTAGCGTATTTTAATGAATTTTTAAATTAAGAAAATTATTAGTCTCCCTGTTGATTGCTCAAAGCATTTTTAAATCTTTATAATATTAACTTCCATTCAGTGTTTTTCCATAAAATTATTTCTTTTTTCATCAAATTTCAATTTGTTGAAAATTTGAAATTAAAATTCAGTTTTGAAACGAAAATATTACGGGGATGCGATGCAGTTTTTGATATGCACTTTTTTTAATTATTGTGACCGACAATCAAATTGTCAAGTATCACTATATAGATTTTCCGTCGTATTTTTAGCTGTCGTCAATGTTTAGACATTAAATGTTAAGGAAGAAAAGAAATTGACTTACTGTAGAATATATTGTAATCTATCAATTCTAATTTACTGAGTTGAAAATGAATCATTAGTTTGGCAACAGCTAAAAAAATTACCTGACCGAATTTTCGTACATATCAGTTTATTGAGTCTGTGATAACATAGGCACAAATTTCCCTATTAATATTTTTCTTTCAAAACTTTTATTCTTTATTCGAACAGTTATACTTGACAAAAACATTTTTTAAGGGTCTTGTCCTTGATGAGAAATTCTGATTCTAAAAAAATTGTTCAATCTTTTGATAATATTTGGTAAATTTAAACAGTATATTTATATAAGTCAACGAAACTGTTTTACTAAGTATTTTAATTGATGAAACATTTTGAACCCCTAAACATGAGCGACATATTTATACAAAAAAGAGCCTATATTAAACATTGAGATTAAAAATCTCATTGATTGCAAATAAATAATTAATAAATAGGTATATTAGTAATGCAATAAGTTGTGCGCGCGTGTGTGTGTGTGTGCCATGTTTTTGAATGAGTAGGAAATAGCTTTGTATAAAAAATTTAGGAAAATCGAAATTTACGGTGTTTGTATTAAAAGTCAGGTCGAACGACAAATTGACCTTTCGATGCCATAATTTTTTCTCAAGCAATAATACATATCCTGCCAATAAATTAAAATTTTTATCCATTTTGGTGATCTTTTGAACCATATCTCTTCTTGTAACAATGCATATCATTTATATCTAAAAGACCAATTCTTTACCTTCAAAGACTTCGAGTTACCTATAAGATACTCAATGGAGAAAGCTGAATAAAACGTTATATTAAATCGAAAAAAAAACGATAAGCGAAAAATGTCTTTGAAAATGATTGCCTCAAATCGATTCTCTAAAATGTCTCGTGATCCTAATTATATAATTATTAAATTGTAAATAGAAGGCAAAACATTTTTGTTTCAAGTAAAATTACAAATTGAATGATAAAAAAAATTGTTTTGAGTATCAATAAAGCAGAAATGTTTTCCTTTCTATTTTCATCCAAAGAAAAAGTTGAATAATACTGCCATTGTAAAATTCCGTAATTATCATCTAGTTACTACATAGAAATTATACCTATACATTTGTAACAAATGAAGTTTGCATTTTTTGCATTTTTCTAAAATGCAATTCAACTTCTTTTTTATCGAAAGAAAAATTGTTAATTTCTTATTTTTATCATCGAATGCAAACACTGTGAAATATTACTTTTTAAGTTTTGATGATGAATTAATTAACACCTGCTGCTGTGCAAGAAATATGCCGCATTGTAAATATTAAAGCAATACATAAATTGTGCGATAATTTTTTGTCTTTATTAATATCCGTAATCTTAAAAATTTATAATTTAAGATACTCTTTTATAAAACCAACTTCTTATTGCTAAAATTCTATATCACATATCAATCGATTTTTACACTTTCATTAAATATTTACACAACATTTACAACTAATACTTTCATTCCTTTCAAAATTCAGTCATCTTCTTTTTTTTCGTTATAAAAAAGTTTTCCGACATTTTTTTGTCCCATGACATCGTCAGCTCATAATACATTCCTTTAAGCGAATGCTTTGTCAAAAAAAAGTTTAGTTTTTACAATTGAAATCTTTATTAACTTTTGGGCACGTCTTTTGCCATTTCCTCCAACCTTTGCCTGAAAATTTCCCGGATTTCCTTGATGGGTTTGGTTAGAAAAATTGGCACATTGTCATCTCTTCTCTGTAAAAAATTTAATTTATTTTGTTATTTATTCTAATTTAAAACTTAAAATTTCTAGTCTTCTGATTTTTTTAATTCAAAATTCAATTGCTTACCTGGAACAAACATTCTCCTTCGAATTCGACGAGTTTTTGTTTTCTGGCCCTGAGTAGGAGTCCAACGACTTTGTCATTTACGTATGTATAAATATTGAAGAGATCGCCAAAAGTTATTGCTATGACATCTGGATGGTCCCGACAAGGTGTACCATCGTGATTGATAATTTCACACAATTCCAAAATTTCCTTATAAATATGAGCTGAAGCTTTGCGGCCTCTTATGTCCGAAAGAGATCCAGCAACTGGTCTATAAGTAAATAAAATTTAGTTTATTTCCATTAAATTAATTAGCATAAATAGTTTTAGAAGATTGTTACAAAAAAAACCATCTCACCTGCCATATTCCTCTTTTGAGAATGTAGGTTTTGCAAGATTTAAACCTGAAGTAAAGGGATTCTTAGATTGACTACTTTGGTGATTACTGGCATGTTGGTTGAACATGGCCACTTTCTCTCCTAGAGATTCCTGCAAACAAGAATTATAATAATATATTACAAATTTAATAATTAAAAAAACGTATTATTTGAATTCGCTAATATTATTACGACATTATTGAAAATGAATAGTTTCTTGTAAAGCACAAGAAACAATTTTTAAACTTAAGACTCGAAACATATGACAAGACTAAATGCAATTCAAACGACTTTAGTTCAACTTGAAAGGTTTCTAAGTCCAATGTTATTCGTCAATTTAAGTAAAAAATATTTTATTTAATTTCGTAATATTATTAGGTAGGTTGCAAAATTATTTATAATAAAATGAAATTTCTTATATTTTTCTAATTTTTATTGGAAATTTCATAAAAAGAACGAGGTCTATATTTTACACGTGTCATTATATAAGAAATTTATTCTTCTAAAAACAAACTAAATTCTTCACACACAAATATCTAGATATCATATTCAAATACGAAAAATAGTATTAAATGTTTCTAGTATCTTATAGATTTTGAAATGGAATTTTGGAATACGTCCAATTTATCAACGTTAGCAGATTAGCCCTGACCATAAAAGAGATTTTGATGGCACATTGACAACTTTTTTTTATCTATATTTTAAACTATACTTGTGTTCAATTATTTCCTTCTTTAGAAATTTGCAAATATAAAATAATCAATTCGAAAACTTGCATTAAGAATTCATTTTTGTTTTTATAAAAACACGTACTCGAGGAACGGGTAATTAATAGGTACATTTAATAATTCGTTTCTAAATTATCGGTTATTATTAATCTACATATTTATGAATATGAAAATCGTGAAAATATTTAAAAGCAAAATCGTTCACCACATAAAAAGTAGAAATAATTTCAAACAAAATAAATAACAAGAGATTTAAATAAAAGCAATATGACATTCTAATAAATAAAATAAAATAAATAATGAACTTTTCGAAATGTGATACTCACAACAATCACCTCAGACATTTTTCTTCTATTATTAAAACACAACTAACAATAAATTATTAATAACAGGTACAATAAATAAGTTGTAAGTAAAAAATTGAAGTAATACTGTCACTGTTTTATGAGAAATATAATTTAACTGAACGTTGGATGATTTTGAAATGAATACTACACTTGAACGAATTGTTTTATAATTATACTAAGAGACACACGGAGTGAATAAATACAGCGTCGCGACGCCAAGCTTCTTTATATAAGAAGCTCACGACGTCAAAAAGCTCCCACCAGAAATTTTTAACTCGTCCCGCACTTTAAAATATTTGCATACTCTGTAAAGCTTTTTTTCTAACTAATAACTGTTTTGACTTTCTGCCAAAAAAACGTCTCGCTACGTCTGTTCATTCATTCATACCACTATAGATATATATATTTCTTCAGAAATTTGCTTCCGCAAAATCATTTTTTATTTTCTCTTTAGTTTTTTTAGAATTTTTTTTAAAATGAAAATATTCTAACTATAGGGGAGAGTGGGGCAAAATGGGGTAGGCGGGTCAAATGGGGTACCTCTGTTTTTCCATGATAGGTACTTTTAATTTTTTTATCCTCGACATATATCATTCATGTTGATAAGAAACTGTTATTAATTATGAAGACATTCCAAAGAAAATTTTTTTTTGAAAGTTATACAACTTTTAAGTTTTAAGCAAAAAAAATATGAATTTTTTTCAAAATTAAAGTGCTTACCAAACTTTTTGGGATAATGCATTTAGTTTGGCAAGTGTGGGATCTTTTTCAGCACTTATTCTAGAGTAATTTCCAATAGAATAGATTGTTAAATTGTTTACAATAACTTGTAAACATTGCATTTTGTTTTAATATGCAGTGTGGGGCAGAATGGGGTACCTAAGTGTGGGGCATGCCGGAAGATACGCCGCTTCATTAAAACTATTTAAAAACATTATATTATGCATATTTAAAGGTTTCCTGCAGAAAAATCGATATTTTTGCTTCGAGGCATTTATACTATTGATGTTTCATTATCAATATATCGATATTTTGCAATATCCATGTTTTTTTTGTTAAATTCTAATAAATATTACTTGTTTTTTCATAATAATGAAGAATCCTACTTTGTGTTTGTATTTATAATCTCATACAACAAGAATTTAATGAATTTTGAAAAAATATTCAATGTTTTGTATAGTTATTTGATGCCACCCCATTTTGCCCCACGGGTGGGGCAAAATGGGATTTTAGCACTTTCTCAGAAAATACGATATAAGTTCTTTCAAAAATTTTTTTCTCCGCTATTATCATAATTTCCTCAAAGCTAAGTGTACAAAGAAGAATTCTGAAGTTTAGCTGAATCGATTTATTCGTTTGGTTCTCTGTAAACAGCCAATTTCAAAAAGGTACCCCATTTTGCCCCACTCTCCCCTAGTTTAATATAATTAAAAATAAAATCTCACAAATCTTTCAAATTGCGTTAATTCAGCATGAGCTATCTTGATTTAAGACTTCCTTTCTGACTTAAAATAAGAATTTTTACTGTGTCGAAACACCTGAATTTTTTAAAAAGTAAATTATTGCTCTTCCATTATTTAAAAGTTCTTATAAGTTATTTATAAAATTTTATATCGAAATAATGTCATTCATCTGTAATACGATTTTAGAAAATTGTGGACAATTGTGGAAAACTGTCAGAAAGCAAAAGAATACACAAGTTTGTGTAGTGATGCTTATAATTTTGGCAGATTTTCACAAATTTCTATTTCTACTTGACTTTTGTCAGTTTTTGAGAATATCGCACGCGACAATAATTTAGTATAATATAACTGCGTACTAATGAAATTCCCCCGATAATTTATTACAATTTAAATATTCATATGTTCGGTAAATAAATTTCTTCGGCAATATATATTGCTTCAATATTTAAACATTTTAGCGATTATTGCAAAAATGATTTTTCCTTTTGAAACATTTTTGCGAATTTATGAATAGTTGAGAAAGTATAAATCATTTTTTGAACACTTGGTTGGAAAGTGAGAGATGCATTTTTAGCAAACCTTATAAGGCGAGATATCAAACGAAAGTTCGGAAGTACGAAATTAGAGTTTTGCGTCACGTGCGCTTGAATGAAACAGACGTCACTGAAAGCGTGGGCCCCTCAATAGTAATCTAACATTCCTCAACGCACTCTCATTCTAAAACTATTTCAAAAGCTACTAAAATTAACTTAGATAATTCATATTCAAAGAATCGGTGGTTGTTTACTTCTTTTTTATATACTCCAACGCACGTCATCCACGCGATGACAATATTTACATCCGCGAGACCATTTTACCTGAAAAGCCTTGGCGCCTTCGTTCTTCTTTGGAATTTAAATATTCTAAATATTACATATAAACACTTTTTATTATTAATAACATTGACTAGCTGAATTCAGGTGGTTTTTAAAAAAATTGAAAATATTTACTATAAACAAGGGATACGAACAGTGCTTTAGTCAGACCAGAGTTTTTCTTCAATTATTCACAATAAATCGATATCGTTCTTATTTTTAAATATACATTTTCAAGTAAAGATTGTAATTATAGAAGCACTTCCTATTTCGTAAAGTATAACAAATTCTATTTTACTTTTTAATTATATAAAAATAAACAATAATAAGGAAAACAAACGAGAAAACGTCGATTATATTATATATTAAAGAAGTGCGCAACAAATTTATATTTTGGCACGAAAAATGAACGAATGGAGTATATAATCAAAAATGAGTCATTCCAAATATCTCATTGAAAAATCGACTATTCCTTTCAGAAAATATTTAAGCATATCAGAAGAAATTAGCGCTCAAATTTTTTTTTTTTTAACAAAACTCTTAAATCTCAAAGAATTTTATTTTCTGAGGGTTTTGCAGATATGTACAATATAGTACCTACAATATAGTACATATCTGCAAAAACTTGAGAAAATAAAATTTTTTAGATGCAAGAAAAATAATTTAAGATTTTTGAACCCATTTGATCAGCTTTTACGCACCCGGATTCTCAGCAAAAGAGAAGTGTCACGTGTATATATTACAATTCAATCGAAGGTTTTAGATTGATGATTAATAATTATTATGTTCAAAAATAAAATTCCTTTATTGTACTAAAAATAATTCTTAATTCTATATTACAAGGTGAATAATTATGTAAATACTAACATTTTTTAATACAATTAAACATTTTACAACTTTTAGGTATAATCGTAAAAAATTAAAAATACATTAGGCAAAAGTCGAAAAAATTAAAAATTAGTAATGTATATATAGTCAAGATTTTCCTAATCTAAAGTATGTGATGAATGTAAAAATATGGCACAGTTCCAAATTGACATCCGGTTATTTACATCTATAGCATTCACTTGTGACTAACATTCTTTAGTTTACTGTGCCAACTATTAAATTGTTTGGAAACATTTGACAACGCAACTAATAATGTCAACGACTTTTCTTCTTCTGAATGTATAATCAAATTAGTATTCAAAAACAAATCAGTAACAATTAAATTTGTTCGCAGCAAGAAAACGAAAGCGCCTTTAAAAAAAATAATTATCGATTAAATTTAAAAATTGAAATAAGAGAACCTTTATACATGTATATACATATATACATATTGTTAGGTCTCCCTCTGTTTTACTGATTAAACTGAAAAGGCGGCCATGTTTTTTGGATCATGCGCGAAGCCAAGAGCCGGATTGTCACAGAGAGTGTCAGAATACACCCGTTTATCCCGCGCGACTAGTGACCTAAGTCAAGAAATTTCATCGAGCCTAGAAAAATAATTTCGGTGACTTCGTCATCGACTCGGTGAGTTTTGCTACTGAATGGGAATGTGTATAAAATGTGAATTGTTAAATTTTCGATAACAAGGTAGTTGATCACGAAAGCTCAAGACTCACCGGTTCAACCCTCGACGACCACCGCATATTGATTTCCCGGTCTGTCAGACAACTAAAACCACCTTGCTTCCTCCTACCCTCTCATTCTGATTTCTATCGTAAATTAATTCTGTAAAAAAAGACCATATTATCAAATTCAACTGACAAGTCCAACTTTGATTTAGTATTTTTAAATTAAATCCAGTGTGTAACACTTGCGAAATCTTGTTTTCTCTCCCCTAGTCTTCAGAATGATTAATCGGATTAGATTTATTTTTTTATAGAGAATTTCCCCCCCCCCCCCTTTTGAAATAAAATCAATAAAATTATTTTAATTTTAGTTCGTAGCATGTATAGTTTGCAAAAATAGATTATTAATATTATAAGTAGTTTTAGATTATCAATACATGAAAAAATGAATATATGAAAATTTATGCAAAAGGTAATTTTCTTACTTATTCGAATTAATATAATTAATTTAAGATGTTATTTTGAAATTGTTTTTTTGGAAGAACAATATAGCTTCTGGTTGGGAGGTGGGCGTATAAAGCCGGGGTCGGAGTTTAATGCCCTCTTTATGTGTTCTATCATTGAATGGTAAAATATTTCCAATGAAGCTGTATAATTATTAGAAAGCAAGTTTAATCCTTCAACTCAATGCTTTAATTAGAATTTAATTTGAACGATTTTTTGAAAATACTTGAGTAGTTTCTTGAATAGTTTGAGGTCCTCAGTTTTTCTCAAGTGGTACAAGTAAATGATCAGTCAGACAGGGTGTTCTGATTGAATCCTTAAATAATAAGTGATGCAAGTAACCGTTCGGTCAGACACTACTGATAGTTGATATTACTGCACAAAAAAATAAAGAGAATTAAAAATGATAATATTAAAATAGTCATAAATTGAGGAAAACTTTTGAAAATAATCGAATTTCGAATAAGAATTTAAAAAAATTTTTGATTTTATTGACTTTACTGACTTAAAAAAAAAACGGATTTTCACATACTTCAAGCAAAGTTACGGACTTTTACTGGATTTACGGACCTAGTTCGAGCCCTGGAAATGATGAGAGAATGATTTAAAAGAATATTAATATTAATATATAATATAAAAAATATTGATTTTTTGTAATTTTACAGGAAGTCTTGAATCATCAATAATGGGGAAGGAAAAGATTCACATAAACATTGTGGTCATTGGCCATGTCGACTCGGGAAAGTCAACAACGACCGGCCACTTGATTTACAAATGCGGCGGCATTGATAAACGAACGATTGAAAAATTTGAAAAAGAGGCTCAGGAAATGGGAAAGGGTTCCTTTAAGTACGCTTGGGTGTTGGACAAGCTCAAGGCGGAACGCGAACGTGGTATCACTATTGATATTGCTCTGTGGAAGTTTGAAACGGCCAAGTATTACGTCACTATAATTGATGCACCAGGTCATCGTGATTTTATAAAGAATATGATTACCGGGACAAGTCAAGCCGATTGTGCAGTATTAATTGTCGCAGCGGGAATTGGAGAGTTCGAGGCTGGCATTTCAAAGAATGGACAGACTCGTGAACATGCTCTTCTGGCATTCACTCTGGGAGTGAAGCAACTGATTGTCGGGGTCAACAAAATGGACATGACCGATCCGCCGTACTCCGAGAGTCGCTTCGAGGAAATCAAAAAAGAGGTCTCGTCGTACATCAAGAAAATTGGTTACAACACTTCTTCCGTTGCTTTTGTTCCCATTTCCGGATGGCATGGGGATAACATGCTCGAGCCGTCTCCGAAGACTGCTTGGTACAAGGGATGGAAAGTGGAGCGCAAGGACGGAAATGCTGATGGGAAGACTCTAATTGAGGCGCTGGATGCTATTCTGCCTCCGTCTCGACCAACTGATAAGGCTTTGCGACTTCCTCTGCAGGATGTCTACAAGATTGGAGGGATTGGAACCGTTCCCGTGGGACGCGTCGAAACTGGCATTCTGAAACCAGGTGACTATTCTATAAGCTTGACACTATAAAAAGTGTCAAGAGTATTTTTTCAGTTTTAACAGATAGTTTACGATGATGTATGTTCGCAGGAATGCTCGTGACATTCGCTCCAGCTGCTTTGACAACCGAAGTGAAGTCCGTCGAGATGCATCACGAAGCTTTGACAGAGGCTCTGCCTGGGGACAATGTCGGCTTCAATGTGAAGAATATTTCAGTGAAGGAATTGAGGCGCGGTTACGTGGCGGGCGATTCGAAGAACCAACCACCCAAAGGGGCGGCCGACTTCACTGCCCAAGTGATTGTCCTCAACCACCCTGGACAAATCAGCAACGGATACACTCCAGTGTTGGACTGTCACACCGCTCACATTGCCTGCAAATTCGCCGAGATCAAGGAAAAGTGCGACCGTCGAACCGGCAAAACCACTGAAGAAAATCCGAAGAGCATCAAAAGTGGAGACGCTGCCATTGTCATGCTACAGCCAACCAAGCCTATGTGTGTCGAAGCATTCCAAGAATTTCCACCCCTGGGCAGATTTGCCGTTCGTGACATGCGCCAAACTGTTGCTGTCGGTGTCATTAAGGTAGGAATGCTGCACTGTTTAAATAGAGTCCCAAGAAATTAACAATAATAAATAATTATTTTCTCTTCTCCCGACAGAGCGTCAATTTCAAAGATACTCAGGGCAAGGTTACAAAAGCCGCGGAGAAGGCCCAGAAGAAAAAGTAACCATCAAGCTTCCTCGGAAGATACCCAAAGAAAATCCTCCAAAAATCTGGAGCGCAATTTTCCATACTTGCGTCATTCTTTTCGACTTTTTCAAGTAACGACACTTCTTTCTTGTTTTTACCCCCTCTACATTACCCGGTAGTATTGAATCCTCGCATTTATCCGAATTTGCATATTCAATTCACCCACGCCCCTCGCACTCCCCACATATGCTAGCATTCAATTTAACAATTGTCCGTTGTACGTTAAAATTGGCAAAGTGCAAAGTCCAATTAATGGTCAAAATATTACTCAGTTTCCTTGAATACACTCAGTGTAGTTAAATTTTTAATTCAAATATAACTGCGGGGATGTGAAATATTTGTGAACTGAAATGAGGCAATCGAGACAAAAGTTTTTACAACTGTCAAAAAATTTCTTTTTCAATTTGAGAGAAACATGTTTTACTGAAACATTACATTTTTCTTACTATGTGTGTTTATAACAAAATGCTGGCCTCGCATCCCTTTAGTTTTTTTATTCAATTTTTAAAAATCATTCTTTACGATGAGATTGATCAAGGCTGATATATAAGTTTCGAAATATTATTAATTATTATATAAAATATGTATGTTTGTTATTATTTATAATCATCGTTTTGTTAATTGTTTTATATTTATACTCATGACTGTATTAACTATATAATTATGTACCTATAGTTTAAAAAAATATCACGTGACAATTTTCATAAAATGTTTACATTATTAATGGTGCAAATTGGATTTTTAAACTACTGATGATACATCTTAATCGCCTCTTACCTATAGATGCGTTTTATTATTATTTTCCGACCCTTAGAAATAATTATGTTGATGTAATAAAAAAAATTCAATTGCAAATCTGACTATCATTCCAAACCTCTAATATTTTTAAAACTATAATTAAAAATAAAGACACTTATGATAAATATATAATTTATTCTCGAATAAATTCTTGATAAATTTTACAATCAATGTTATATATGTACAAAAATGTTTAATGTAATCTTACAGGAATTTAATGTTATTGATTTGTTACAAATTTCCTTCTTTATAGGACGTCAATTAGATGAATAATAATAGGGCACTTTCCTTTAGTCTGATATGGCGTAATCATCACATTATGGAATTCGTAATTCTTAAAATTTAACTATTTCGTTCACACCGCAAATATAGTTCTTTACGATTTTTGCAAAAATGCTTTTTCTAACACGCAAGAAAAAATTTCAGTTACTTTACTGAACAGAATAAACATGTAATTTTTATTTGCAAATAAAATTAATAATTCTTAAAATTTCAGATATACCAATATTTTACAAAACGTATTTCAGTAGATAAATATTTTCAACACAAATGAAATAAAAATTTTAATTCTTTTTACCACATTTTTTAAAAATATTTTTCCGTGTTAATAAAAGAGATTGAAAAACTGAACAACATAAATTAATACTGATTGAAAAATGATAACTTGTAAGTAATCACTATAACTTAATATAGCATAAATTTTCAGAAAACAATAAACCAATCGAATGTTCATATTCGAATCAAATTCAGAAGATTCGTGAGAAATTTCAATATTACTACATATTTGAAATAAATGAAATAAACCTTTGACGAACCACAATTCTTAAAGTACAAATTCTTCAAATTCTCGATGTCTCATTATTTTGTGTCAAATTCATAAATGCTAAAGCAACACACAGCCTCGTAATTATTCAAAATATGTCGACATTCATTATGCCTTTTAAACATAATGTTGGAAATTTTATTTTCCTTGAAACCACAGATTCATTAAATTTATATTAATGTTACAAGTTTCTAAAATGTAGTTTTTTGTGCATTCAAAATGCAATATAAATAAAATTTAAATAATTTTCTTTTTTCAACAAAAAAAAACTAAATATATAGTTTCAAGTGAAACTTGAAATTAGAAAAATATCAAGAAAAACATTGAAAATTCTAAATATGCAGATTTGTATGTATATTATCACAATTTTAATTTTTTGACAAGAATCTGCAAATACCTTTGTATAATTTTGTTTTAATTTAGAGATTAAATTCAATTCTTTTAAACAGTGCTGTAATTTATCGGAAAAATCAAAACAGGAGAGAAGGGAAAGTTTTCATAAATGAAAAAAAGTTCCTTAACATTGAGATTTAGAGGGATATTTTTTTCATGTTAAATAAATATAAAACATTTTAAATAAAATGTAAGAAGAGGGAATTTTTGAATATTCTTTTCCGATGAATCATTAAATTAAAGAGTCGGTCGCTTGTGATTTTTATAGTAAAATATATATAGTAAAATTCGACATCTAAATAAATGGCAGCAAAGTGGAAGATCGAGATTGCGAATAAATCGAAGAAAAGAAATGAACGCGAATTAGAATTTAACGAAATTTAACGAAATTTAACGAAATTTAACGAGTGGGACTATGATGGGACCATGCAGGAGGCTGCGAATGATTAAAATTGACTGATATTGTAACGGGATGGAGGACCGTGTCTGGACCCGTGTCGGGAATAAACGTGAGATGCGGCCTCAGCAAGGAGGATTCCACCGTCAACGGGATGTAGAAAGCACCTCCGTCGTGAAGTGCGAATATCGGGACGCCATGGGGCTTCTCTAGGACAGGAGGCGGACTAGACTTTATTCTCTCTGCGGAGAATCTCTGTTTGATGGAACTCTTGAATTTGTAGTTTTGCGGCCTTGTCGCGGAAGGTCCACTGTGCGAGGAACTGTGGTTGCTGTGATCACTGTCGTCGGTTGTAGGTGGCACGATAGGTCTCGGACGCTCAGTGTCACTGAGTGAACTCACTCCTGAACTTGAACAATGATCGGATGATTGATTGCTCTGAAGACACACTGTTGGAATGGTGGAATGAATGAAATTGGCATTCGTTGATTCGATTGATGATGGCAGGTCTGGATGAGGAAAGCCAAGTCTGTCGCCTGAAAATAACGTTCGAACGTTTTACAATTTTTCAATTCTTTATTTAGGTATTTAAATTCAGGGTTGCCACGCTTTGCCACGCTTTGGCACGCTTTTGCTCATTTCAAATTACCTGACATTTCCAGGTTTTCCAGGTTTTTTCAGGTTGCGTGTCAACCCTGAAATTAAGCCTCTACGATTTATACTTCAAGTTTCAATTTGATTAGATTTTCGTTTAATTTCAGAAATAAAGATAGTTACTTTTTTGTTTTGTCTGAATGTTACTTACTCGTGGCTAAAATTTTCTCACAGTGTTGTTGCAAGTGACCGATGAGTTGTACACAAAGAGAGTCTCTGGCGAAAAAACCCTCGACCTCCACAAGAAAGTGCATCGTCTCACTTAAACATTCCTGAAAGCCAAGTCTATAATGTTCGGCTGCGATTGACGTTGTCGGTGAATGAGGCACACTGTCCACACTATCCTCGGGATGCGTGTGAACTGAATTTGCAGTCGAATGCTTCGAGTCTGAAGCAAATTGCATTAATTCACATTTAATTAATCCATTAATCTTCCATAAATTCAATTTTCTCAACTTTATAAAAAATCACATTCCAACTGTACACAATATTTGGAAAAGAAAATAAATACCTTGTCGAACATCTTGAAGATGTTTCATGTGACGAATCGCCATCTCAATGATTTCCGTTTTTTCCACTCTTCCTCTACCTTTCTTCAAGTATTCAGCCGGGATTAGTCTACTGAGATCAGCCAAACAATTGTTCATACGATCTCTTCTTCTCTTTTCTATTATCCTATGAGACATTGGATCTTGCTGAAAAAATAAACAAGTATTCAATTAATTCAAGAAAATAATAGCAAAAGATTAATTTGTCTGAATTCCGAATTTTCCTTTTTATAAAAATACTTAAAATATATTTAAAGTTTTAAATACATAAATATATTTGTAAATAAAAAATACCTCTTTATTATTCAAACAACGCTTCTTTCTCGGAGGTAAAGAAATATTAAGAGACATTTCTTCTAGATTTGCAGGCGTATAATACTGCATACTTAAAATATTATCCATACTATGTGTGACCATTGTTCTTAATAATAAATACAACTCAACATTTACCAACACTCTTTCAATATAATCCCAGTCGATGATTAAAAAAAAATTGTTTTAAAACCTTAGTAATCACTGCGATAAGTTTTTTAAAAAATATATAATTCTTTTCAAGAATAAACCCTATTTCAAGAAAACATTGTTTTTATTAACAATAGATATTTAAAGGATTGTATGAAGCGCGACAAAGTCGAGCACTTGTTTCTCGGTAAAAGTATTTTTGCAGACTGAAGAATAGCTACAGCCTCGCTTGCGATGCTGATGCCATATAGCCTGAATTTCTCGGACGATTGTGATTAATTTTCTTACACACACGTTTTCTGTATCATTTCAAATGCCAACACTCTTCTAGCTCGTGTGACGTCTTTCTCATCACGTGTATATATGTTACACGATTTGTTACACCCTACACGTGATCATAATTTTGTCGCACGAGTTTCCTCGACAGTTTATTTATAGGCTTTTCAATACTTATTTTGAATTTAGTCCAATTTACATATTATAATTAAACTTCTCAATTAAAATTTCACTTACTTTGTCATTTTTTTCTTTCATCTATTTTTAACGCTTAAATGTAATTTTGAGAATAGAATTTGTAACCTTTTTTCATTACTTGAAAATCATGTCTGTTTTATAATTGATAGTTGAGGAAATAAATGAGAAAAATTGAATTTACAAATTCCATTAAAGTAAAGACGTGGTATTAAATTGAGTGTCTAAAAATATTACAAGAATCCCCTCTGCGATTCATAATGAAACAACAAGTTTATCACCGCACGTCAGAATATTGTACACGTGTGGGATAACAAGTATAGATATTTGTCACGAGTCGACTCGACTAAAAAATGTCGGGGGTCGGGCTGATATCACCTTCTTCAAGAATCTTTTCAAGCTTTTCAAGCAGTGTAATAGTGATTAGGTCGAGACAGTAATTAGGCACTTAATTATATGGAGCAAATTTTTGTTTTACTTTTCTAATTATCATTCACTTTCGTGTAATTAGATTAATTTTTTTTCTACATTTTTTTAAGAAGCGACAAACGTTATCTTGTTCGTAAGAAAAATGGTTGCCTACAATGTTGCAAAATACTTGTCAAACTTTAAAATAACTTATTATTTGATAAAAAAATATAGGAAAAATTGCACTACTTGACAACTTACTGTACACGTTATAACTGAAAATGTGCCGTTAAGATTGCAAACAGGAAAGCATGTGCGAATACACGTGACGACTTAGACAAGTTGCTTAGTAATCACCTGTTTTCTTTCAATTTTATTACATCGTGCAGCACACTTGCAACGAGATGTATAAGTGACATAGACAAAATAACATTTCTAAAAGTATAAGAATTTAAATTTTTTAAAATTGAAAAATTAAGTAAACGATAACACACCAGTTGAATGCAGTAGGTCATAATTTTTCGTTGACTAATAACGAGTAACCCTTGGAATTGAGCATACTAGCGATAAAAGAAATTTTCTGCAGAGAAATCCAGTAAAGCCCGGTTATCATTTGAAATAACAGAGACCTTTGGGGTCCAAGGCGGTCATGCATATTGATAAACTCAACCATAATAGAATCGTTTATAGCAAGCTCTGCGATCATTGCGACTGGATCAATCCGGACTGTCGATAACTCGACCTCATTCAACTTGCATATTTTCTGCTTTCCTTTTTTTTATTCTTTCTTATGCATTTCTCCCATAAACAAATGTATTTTCACGAATCTTTTATTCTCCACTTATGTATTTATTTAAAACAATAACTTTTAAAACCACGGGACTAATTAACCTTACACTGTTCTTTCTTCTTCGTTTTCTTTTAATTTATTTTTATGGTGACAGAATTTGCATTTTTAATAAATGTCAATGACGACCTTATTTAGCACTGCCTCCAAGAATTGAAGGTCTAAAAACATTTCAATTTCTTTTAAATCATAATGACAAAAATACCCAAATTAAACGCATTTTTAAAAACCTAAAATTCAAATTGGTTTTCCCATAAATGAAACTGAATTTTATGAAAAAATTTTTTATTAATCGCAATAAATATATTTTTCTATCCATAAATAATTCTAAATAATGGCACGCATGCGAGAAAAGAAATCAACTCGCGTGACTGAAATTGCATTGGCAACATTAAAGAACACTGAAATAGTTCAAGTTTTTCAACATCTGCGAAAAATGTAATATAACACATCTTGACACGTCTTGACATGAGGCATATATGTATACTAAATTAAGAATTCTTACTTTTTAAAGTATTCTTGTTGTTTTTACAAGAGTCAACAAGATTGCGAAAATAGTATCTCGTTTGAAAGACTCAAGGTTAAGAGACTACTTGTCTCAATGTCTCGAATTTTTACCGTATATATTATTTTTATATTCACAATGTATTTACACAGTATTATCAAATACGAATTTAATCAAATAATTGTTGCTTAACTTTTCAAATAAATTAAAGTCAACAATTTTTCATAAGATGACAATTATTTTTCGATTTGTATTTTTTCTTTTTTTTTAATAAAAATTTAGAAATATAAAATTAAAAAGTTTACATTTATGAAAGCAGAGGAGAAGAATTTTATTTTTGAAATTTGACAGATTAATCATCAGATTTTTAGGTCAAAGCATCATTAGTAGTCCTGTGGTTTACCGTGTGACTCGCTGATCAATACTCATCGTGAAAGATAAAATACGTGAAAAGAAACATGTGACTTGATTATATTCTTGTGACTAGACTGCTACAGCAAAAATATCGTCGACTCACCAACACGTGTCTTGTTTTTATAATCACTTGCCATTTTGGAATTTAAAGCAAATATATATACTGCAATAATAATTAATAACCATTGTTGTTAATAACATACTATTTCCTTAGTAATAAATTAAATTTCGAGTTTTAAAATTAAAGTCAACATACATAAAATTATAAAATACCAAGATAAACACATAATTTTTAATCTGATTCATTGATATAATTCAACCTACAAACACAAAATTACAAAAAAATATCAATTCGTTTTGATCTGCCTATGTTTTGAGTGCTCCAAGTATAACATTAATTTTCTCTATCATTCCTTTTTAAAAATAAATATATTTGCATCAATTATTCATATTTTAATAGTAATGTCCATTCACAATGGCGGATAATTATTTTTGATTTTGTTTAGCTGTATTTTCAGAAGAAAATAATCTTCCAACTTTTTATTCAAGTACAAGACAGTGTATGTAGAGGAAAATCGATAATTTACTTAACTCACGGGAATGAACAGATTAACAAATGATGAATCGAATAACGTAGAATTTTCGTGCAACTAATCACGTACGCAGACTTCAAAAAAATATATAATTTCAGTGAATTTTAATTTAAATTTTCACAGTAAAATGAAAATCTTACTTAAATTCAGCAACGATCATTTTAAATACTCGATGTACATCTGCAAAATTTCTTGAAATTGAAATAGTAAAAAATTTGTAAAGATGGAAATTGATTGTTGCAAAAATCCCTTTTCTATTAAAAATAAAAAGTAGTCGCTAATTCGAAAGAAAATTCTGTACCTACTTCGTCAAGATTTTATAGCAAAAGAAAACTTTTTCGAGAAGAGAAAAATTGAATGGTAAACGCATAATTTTCGAAAATCTTGCACTGTTTACATTTTAGTAAATTGATATACGGTTCACTTGTCTATTACCCAATATATATATGATGGAAATGGCAAAGCGTCGCGTCGATTGTGTATTCGCTCGAGGAGCTATTAAGTGAATGCTTTTCTGAATCTTATCTTTCTGGTAATACTCTTAATTCACGAGACCTTTTTTTTATCTTTTATTTGTTTCCCAAATAAAAACAAATGACTTACATAAAAAGAAAAAATACCCATGAGAATTTAGAAAATATAAGTGCATTTATATGATTATGATTTTTGTAAAATTTTTACTTCCTCAAAAGTTTTAATTAATCTACGTTTCAGCGGCAAATGGAGAAAAATTTGATAATTTACATATGAAGAAACAACATTCACTGAAATATATAGAGCGAAAATCTTTTTTCTCTGAATATAAATATATATTACTTGATTGCACCAGAATTGAACTCTTAAGATACTGCGGATACTTCCTTAAATTACTTCATATATATAATAAGACAAGTAAGCAAAGTGTAATTGACTCACATTATTTTCAATTTTAAAAGAATATACTTTTGGCTTAAAAAACAATTATAAACAATTATACTTTTTTATACTCACTCTTGAGACTTTTTTCTTTGTATAAATTTCATCATCCTCTGAGGCGGTTGCAAAATTTAAATTTCCTTCACAATATCCTGCACCGATCCCCATTCTATAGATGTCGTCCTTGCATGATCTAGCATCCAAACTAAAATTATAAAAACAGTTTTTGTAACATAGAAAACTAATTATATTTAAGCATATTAAAGAATATAAAATCAGAAAGGTAAAATTATCAACTTTTAAAATTAGATGAAATTTACATAAAAATATTAATGAACGTGTAAATTGAAGCTAAAGTTCCTTTTTCAAATAGGTAAAGGCTTATCGATTCTCCTATTTATCAGTTTATCGTCAAGTGAACTCACCGGGAGATATATTCATTTGCTTTTAATCTCTATATAATGAACGTGTTCTATATGTATTGTATAAAACTGTGCGATTCTTGATAGACAGTTCAGTCAATAACCCTTATACTATATAATAACTATATCCATTTTCTGCTTTGAGGATAGATATGCGATGGAAAAATTATTCATATGTAATAATGCATTAATCATTAAATATTGTTATATATTTTTCCAAGTGTTGTTTTATTGGAATTAAAAAATTAAATTTCACTAAGAAAACTGGATGTTTAAAAGGAGTAGATATATTGATACTTACAACTAGAAACTAAAAATTACATATTCTTTGGAAAATACAATCTAAAAATCCCATAAAGATTTTTAAAAAATTTATTAAATTAAACAATTTTTTAATTTTATTTAATTTTATTAATTAAGTTAAATAATTTTTAATTGCAGCTTTTGGACTTTAAAAATTTATCCGCAAATCTTAAGTTGTATTTAATAATTGTTATTGTTTTATGCATACAATTCTTATTGAAAATAATAAAGAATTAAATTCTTTGTAAATATGAGTTACAGTGAACTTTTCTTTTATTGTATACGAATATACTGTAATGTTTATTATTGTAGTTATGTCAAGTATACCATAATATGTATATAGATATACCTACACGATCTTCATGTGCACTTACACGTGAGGCAACTGGTCGCGGAAACTATGCAAAACAATTCATTCTCTATTCGAAAAATTCATTGTGAAAACTGAAGTATAATTTCAAATGAAACGATATTAGAATTTTTGTATTCGAAATTTCAGTTTCATTATTATATTTAATGTGTTTTTATTTAGTGAGAGAGTTTGGCTCTCTCACACTAAATTAGGATAACAGTTTTTCAGTGCAGTTTTTCTAAGGATGGCAAATTGAAACAAAAAACGATATGAGTTTTTCCCAATTTGATATCCTTAGAAAAACTCACAGGGTTGAAAAGATGAATACTAGATGTTGTATATGAATGAGGCTCTTATTGATTTCATTTGATTTCATTGGTTATTATTGAAGGTTAGGTGAAATGAAGGGTAATACTATATTCAAATTCACAACTCAGCTCCGAGATGGAGAAACTTTTATATATCATTCGTCACGGCCTTATTATTAAATCCTTATATAAATATGTATGTATTTATATTAATAGATAGGAATTTAAAATTTTACTTTATTTGCAAATTTTGAAAATTCAAATAAATTGTTAAAATTTACAACTTATAACAAGTTAGTATTGTTACCCAGATGTCTAACTTAAAAATAAAAAATAGAAAATTTGAATTATGACAAGTATGTAACAAGCCTTTGATGTGAAATCAAATGTTTCTTCTAATTCAAGATTCAATTATGAAAGAAAAACAGAATCATCTGATGTTGCAAAACTAATACCTCGTTGAACGTCACAGTTGAATGGGCTGCGATGTGTATAGTGTATACCTACATATATTAATTCAGGATCCATACATAATAATAGAGCAACTAAATGGGAGTAAGAATCCAAGCTCAAAAATGCAATGCGCGACACACGTCCTTGTTCGACCTTACCATATACCCACCGTAGAGTACATTCACTTTCGCGATTGTCGCGTTCAGTTAACAACTGCATGTATTACTTACACAATTAAAACACCATCTCAAGAATTTTATTTCATTGCTTCTACCAACTAAAAAATAATTTTTTAAAAATAAATATCCAAGTTTAATAAAAATCCAGCAATCAAAACATGAAATAAAGTTGTACTATATTTATTTTAATATATGTAGTATATTTTATTTTGTTCCTCGAAGAAAAAAGTTTTAAATGAACAGAAATTCATGTTTATTATTTATTTGATAGTAATATATAAATAAAGTAAATTATATATAGGTGCAGAGTTGTGTTTGCACATTCATAAAAATACCAACCGCGTGGCTTGCAACGTGACTTCACTATGTATACAGATACAGTGAATATGTAACCCTTTGTACGTAATTCCCGCCACTATCGTTTAAATTTCATTGTAAAAATACTCTTCCTAAGCAGTATATACCTTATTGTTAGTTTTAAATTATCAAGATATCGGTTTAAATTACTTTAAACTTTTATTTCAATTTTTAAAAAGCTAAAAAAATATAATACATCATCAATTTTTCTTTATAATTTAATAATTTTTCTCTTTGTTTTGGCAAATATAGCTTTCATATCCGAAAAAATTACCTGTGATATATAAGTATTATCAATATTAATACCCACTTTTATCATAAATAATAGATGTAATAATTTTTCAAAAGTCTTTACTTTACTTATAAGAAAATTTACACACTTCT